TAATTTTCATTGTCATTATTTTAAATTTCCAGTCGGTTAATAGAAATCGAGTACCTGTTAAAACAATAATAGATAGATAGTACTTATATGTATTTACATTTATAAATGTTCATTATTTCTCTTTAATCCACTAGCCCGTAGTTTCATTACTCAATTGGTATAGTTTCTTTTAGCCAAAGATAGCCTGGTAGAGATTGTTTGGTTTTTGTTTCTATGTTTTTAACTATATGTGTTTATAAGTTAATTTTTATTCATCAACTACACAAAATAGTGAACAACTTCGCCACAGAATTCTAATATGTGTTCTGTATACAGCGGATGCTTTGAGAACTAAACTATATAGACATTCACAATTTATTTATTAAAACTTAATCAACGATATCTTAAATTCAAATCGCAAAATCATTATAAAAAAGTCTCTTTGTAAAGAAGAAGCATTTTAAGAAAGGCTGTAGTGTTAGATTTTGATAGTTTTTTAATATCTTTGTTTTACAATGTAATTGTCTACTTGTATCTATTCTCTTCTAATTATCAGCCTTCCGTAAATCATAGTCGAGAAAAGGCCTCCTAATTCACACGTTATTTTGTTATCTTGGGCTTTATCTTTTATCTTGGGCACTACGCCATCGGACCTGTACTAATTTATACTATTTATACCTACTAATATTATAAAGAGGAAAGGTTTGATTATTTGTTTGTTTCCTTGCATCGAATAGGCTCCGAAACTACTGGACCAATATTTAAAATTCTTTCTCCTGCGGGAAACGTCATCATACGGGATTGATATAGGCTATATTTAAGGAGTACAAAAACATCTAGTCCATTATACAGTGTGACGATTTATCTGCGGTACGCCTGTGGGGTACAGACAGGGTAAAGGCAACACCAGTGACGATAGTCGAAACTACTTTCTTGCTCTCTATACTGCAAAATCTGAGCTCTTTCAGAATACAAGCGCATATCTCTATCAAAAGAAGTTTCAGACTTATATTATACTGCATGTGTGTTACAATCAGCAGTTAGACGTGCTAAGCGACCTTCAGAAGTCTTCTGAGATCAAACGCTTGCTGTATGAGTTCGCCGAGTGCTGAAAACATTTACCCTGACAGTGAATGCTTCAGATTCAGCTTACTGCATGAGCTTTTATTTGATTGGCAGTTAACTACGCTTCGCGTTCTTCAAGTGTCTCCTGTGACCGATTGCTATTTGCCCGTTCTCTCAAATCCAAGAAGCCATCATTCGAGAACGGTGTAAACTGAGTTTAGGTTCATGCTAAACCAAAGTTTGTCTAGTACGTAGCCGGAACTAAAATTCCCTACGTCTCGCTGTACGATATTTTTGAGAATCTCAGACGTTTAAATTATATCCGAAAAAAATATACCCTATATTATTTTCGAGGTGTTCTTAAAATTTACTTTAGATACCTACCTATCGTAAGTAACTGCTAAGACGTAACCTCACTTTTTTTAACGTTGAGAAAATGCTTCTGGCACTGTCCTTGTTACCTGACAAGCAACAGGGGGTGAGTAGGACTTTCCTCCATGAGCCCACCCGGCAGTGAGCTGCTCAATGGGTCCTAAAATTTAATAAAACAGTTAATATTTCATAGCAATTTTAGCGAACACAATACTTCAAATTGACCTTACCTTTTGTGAACCAATTGAAATAAAAGTTAAATGCATTTAAATCAGTTCAGCCGTTTCTGAGATTAACGTGCAAAAACTCACAGATTTTTGTCAGTTTTGTGTTCTATTACGTGAATAAATGCCCTTCATAATAGTTTTTTTTATATATATATAATGTACAGACATCGATAATAGGTATTACGTAATTATTACAGATTTATTATATCATTTATTTTTTTGCTAATAAACACAAATGGCAAACTTAAAGTCAGAATTTTTAACACATCTATAATTATAATTTCCTACGCTGTTTTTTCTCAAATACAAGTCTTTAAAATATAATAATATACTATTTGTGTACCGTGTCACATCCCCCACTCGTACTAAGTTATATCACCTAAATAACTTATACGTCGAGTCACGGTCGACAAGCGCGATACAACGGCGTTTTTGTAGAGCCCTTATCTAATTAGGGTTAGCAAATAAATCAATGTAAGTAGAACAACAGATAAAGTAGTTATTTTAAAAAGATTCCTTAATAGACTACCTAACGCTGCGAACGTATGCTACGTTTTTTTTTTCAAATAAATTAAAATTGAATTTATCTTTTTAGAAACTAGCTTTTGTAGCATATTGTTTTGGACTCTATCAAGAATCTGACAGAGTTGCGTTATTTAATTACAAAATTCCTGTGGGGACCGTTCCATTCCATCATCAGAGTTTGAATATTATCTCGGACCAAAGTTCTTATCAAGAGAAATCAAACGAAGCCAAATTCGATGGGTTTTCTTTGTTTAATTACATAGGTGCCAAGGCTACGGCTCTATATGGAATAGAGCCGATTTATCGATAGCACAGTACTGTATTGTCATCTAAGTTATATAATGATTTGTGCTGCCACTATTGGTCTCAACAGAGAGCTTAGTGTAAGTTTTTTTGACGTTTACATTGACTGTCCATCGTGAGCGCGTTAAGATTTGGTACAGCGCCCGTAGCGTTAATTAAAAGAACTATAAATCTTCATACAAATCATAACTTGCTCGCTAATTAACGTGATAACGTAAAACTTACACTTACCTCCTCTGCTCATAAGACTTATTCTATTTCACAGAAAACAAAATTTCGTGTATTTTCGTAATACTAATATGTCTCCACACTGTAACGCATTTTTTGGTATTTTATGATGCAACTAAGAACCTGACACTGTCTCTGATGCACAGATAATCTTCATAGATATGAATTTGATATAATTATAAAGATAGATTCGAAATTTTCCAATTTTTCGATCGAGGACTAATAGAATAGGCGCTGAAAGAATCAGTATAAAAACACATTCAAATTGGTACCTCCGTTTGGGAGCTAGAAAAGGGAAACTCATTATAACACCCCTTCTTTGTGTCGGGGGATACAGCAACTTATAGCTTACAATTGTTGTCGCGTGACCGTTTAGAAAGTGACGAATCGTAAATGACTTAGCTTTGAATATTCATTATTCTTGAAAACAAAACTATTCCAAACGTTGTCAAAAATGCAAAAGTTTCTACTAAAACATTTCAAATGTCAAGTATTAGAAGCTAATAACAAAGTAACTTCCACACGAATTACTCATTATTTTTTTAATAACAGCACTACCTGTCTAGACAGCGATCGTAAAAGTTAAGCAATAATCTCGAAGGTCGGTTACTGGATGGGTGACCGTCTCGAAATTTGTGATACAAACTCTTAATTTTGATGTTGAAGAGTAAAGTAACGATCGATAAACAATGTGTTGCTCTTTCGGCTCGTTATTTATTATAGTATTTTCAGGTCGTTTAAGTGGGAGATTATTCACTAGGCAAAATACGCATGTGTCTTGGGAAAACTGATAAAAGAAATTTCGCGACTTATGATGCCCCATTTTTAACAAAAACACTCTGTATATGATAATGTTCTGTGCATATAAATATCGGTGTAATTTCATATTTTTTGTTGTTTTTTCCCATATTTAGGATAGGTCACAATCCATAGACATAGAAAACGACATCTAGGCACCTATTGCGATATTTCATTTCATTTTACTACTGTGACTAGTCTTTTGGTGGATAAAGCTAATTTAGTAATACTGCAGTCAAATTCATAACCATAAAGTCATTTGAATTTATGTATTAAAATGCATGTAAGTAGATATATAAACCTATACCAAAATACATGAAACTTTCTACTGTGTGTAGAAACTTTCATTAGGTATCTAAAATTCAGAAGTTAAGAATGTGCGACTCGTTCTGCATCAAATCAGGTATTAATTTAATTTCACGTTACTCTCAAGAAGATATATTATTCAGTTGACCCCTATTTCTAAGATATAACAATGATTCTGACCTCAACAAGAAAAAAGACTTTATTTGTGATGAAATACTATTGTAAGGTTTTGCAAAAGAAGTTCTCCAAAACTATGCCAGACTCAGCCCCTTGAGCATATTTTTTCTTAACTCGATATAATCAGCATTATCATCATTTCAATCAATGCAGCAAGTTCCAGGTTTGAAAAAATTTCAATCTCTGTATGAATCGTTCGTTTGTTGAACACCACGTTGGGTGCCAATTAAGACAACTATAAATGAAGTATATAGTTCATAAATCTAATTTAGATAAAAAAGCGATTCTACTATCTCAAAATCTGGTAATACTCATTGTATACTTTTAAACGACCGGGTATTTAATGTTATTATACAAAAAGATTGGTTGGGCGCCAATTTATTAAGTTAATATGTCTTAATTTTGCACGAAATGTTCTTAGGCATCGACTTTACAATATTCTGGAATAAATATTTAGATTTTATACTTTCCTAAATATAATTTATTGAAAAGATTAAAAGCTCTTTATGACACTGTACATTATTGTTGTTTTTTCCAAAGTACACGGGATTAAAAGAGAGAGATTTTGAGATTGAGATGCGTTTGTCCTAAAATATCATGTTGGATGCATATGGTAGTTTTAAAGTGGGCGTCCTTCAAGTTAATGGCGATTTGTGTTACTTTCTTTGTATCGACAATCTCATTATGCCACACGCCACAAACCACGCAATACTTGGCACTCAGTCCAACTTAAGTCAACCCTTAAGAAATTTCATGCCTTAGTTCGCTGTGGCGTGCCGGCCGTCTCACTCGCCCTACTCAACACAATATGGCGCGAACTAACGACTCTTTGGACAATAGAAATGCAATTAAATAATCTGTGGTTCTTTTGTGTACGTGCCCGAAACAGTAAACATGACATCTTTAACGTTCGATTTTCAAATTCACTAGTGCTTTCTCTTTGTGATAAATTCTCGATTTTAATACAATCGAGATGTAAAGTAACACTACAGTGTTCTCCTGTGGATTTAACTATTAAAAATGTTACACAATCGGACTGTTTATATACTGCCAAACGAACTCCTGCCAAAGCGGTATGACAATGATAACGGGTAAAAACAAGCAAAGTATTGTTAATTGACCCACATTTTAAATTATATTTCAACTTTACCCTTTAAATATATAAAATATGTAGTTTTGTTTCATAAACGTTAATACAAAATTTAACTTGTTTATTTCACATAGTTATCTTGGGCCGGCGTCATTATTAAGGTAAATTACGACTTAGTAGAAAGTGTAATGATTGCATGCAATCGTTTAATTCAATACACGATTGTAGTTCGCACTAAATATACTCGACCAAATAAAATAACCTCAAATATTTCTTCGTAACGGTTAAATACCTTTAAACGCCCATAAACCGTTATTCCATTTTGTATCGTCGTTGTTTAATACGTAACATTCATTTGAAACTGAGTTTTCGAAGGCCTTCTGAATGAATTTTGTGTATGTTAAGTCAAGCTTCGATTTCCGCATTCCCTTACAAATTAAAGTCGTTACAAATTCTAATTTTTATTTTATTATTAGGATTTGATCAAAATCAAAAGTATTGTACTATTCCTCATTTCAAGATCAAAATTACTATTCATCTAACAGTAAAATCACAATATGGAATTTGATTTATATTCGTATGAGTAAAGTTAATTATGAAGCGAGAAACCGGGGGAGTAGCTACTTATGAAATGTTATAGATACTTATATATATATTCTCAGTGATAAACTAAACATGTAAATTAGTGTTTATTATCTAATCTCTCGTTTTTTGAATAAACTTTTACGTTTATGCAACCACAACCAAATCCAACATAGGTATATGTATATATTTTGCACACTTGCCAATGCAAATATGTTACTTAAATAATCTTTAACTTCATTAACTTTTCTAGATTCCCACAAAGCACAAGCACAACACCAAAACCACCGGCAAGAACCAGGAAACCATCCAAAGATGAGAAGTCGACTCCTGAACCGTCACCGGCGCCAGAAGACCAAGAAAAGAAACCTAACATTTGTTCACGGCTCATGGGCAAATGCAAGAGCAAATGTTGCCCTTGCTGCATCAAGGGTGAAGATGACGATGGACACGTGGAAGAGGGTAAAGGCAGTAGATGGAACTGCTTCAAGAAAAAGGAGACTGAAGATCCTTCAGCTGTTGAGAGAGCTGCAGGGAAAGTAAGTTTTGACTATTAACAATACGTTTTAAGACTGATAAAAGCTTGATATCTATAATCTATATCAGAATTATATCTATATAATTATTATGAAGCTGTTTTATATAAGTTAACCATGTCAATATAAACAAAATGAAAATCGAGACATGACTCAAGCCTACTGCAATTTGGTAAATATAAGTTGGGAATGTTAATAATTGCAAATAAATGCATATCAACGGCTTAACTTGCCTTCCAAAATCCAAAGAAACTTCAGGTGATAAAATTTTGGTTAGTAAACTATTACTGACTTTTACAAAAATTGCTTAATATCTGCATTCGCCCACCCCAGATTAAACATAATGCCATATTTACTGATGTTTCTTATATTTTCAATGTACAATGTAGAGGTAAGAAACACGGATTGTACTACTTATAATAAAATCTATTCTATTCATAATATCAAAGGAAAAATCGTATGCTAGGAATGATGCCCTGCAATATTTTCACTAACATTGATACTGTCAAACTTATAATAACGCCTAAAAAAGGTAACATATTCGATTTATTTCTACCAAAATTGGCAGTCAATAAGTAACTTTAGTATTAAGTGAATATTTTCTTGGAACCGTTAAGGTAGCGGAGTGACTATCTAAATATTACTCGTGATAATGTGAGAAATTTTTCCTTGAATACGATACCGTGTCAAAATATGGTATATATATATATAATTATATATATAATGGTATATATACTTAACTGTTGAAAATTTTTTAATGGAAATGGCTGACTTGATACGTAGAATCACTGTGTATCCACCAATTTCTTTCTAACTCCTCATATACGTATTTGGAACTCAAAGTGTTGCCGACAGTCTTACCATGTTTTTGATATATTATTACTGGCCTCTTTAAGGAGGTTTTTATACTTATTTTTAATTTATATTTTTTTTACTTTTTGACTTTGACAATGTATTCTCAATGTATCTTGCTTTTGTACGTTGGTCATCAATAAATCTTTCTCTGATTTAAAAGTTATATTATTAATGATCTACAGTCCTCTATGCTTGCTGTCGATTACACAAAGTTACAACGACTTCATCATCATCAGTACGTTGATGTTCTCAATCTTGGGGCACAGGTCTTCGTTATTGATAGAATCACAGAGAAAAAACGGGCCATAACTAATGTGACCAGACGTCCCATTTTGTACGGAACTTTCTCCTTTTATGGCTGTATCAGTGTCCCCTCATCAATCACTGTGAAAATTGCAATCATGTAGATAATGTCATGCTAATATATTCCTAAACAGACGGCTACTATTGAATATGAAAACGAAACTCATCGCAAGCGATCCGTGCGCGAGCTGCTCTGCGGGTGCTGCAAGCGACAGAGGCGTGTCAGCGACGCGTCGGGTCTGGCAACGCGCGACGTCACCCCGATGTCACCACACGTTGTCAACGAAACCAGCTGCTGTGGTACAAGGAAGAATATCGAGAGAAGGGATAGTATACTCAGTGACCGGCCACCAGGAGGGTAAGTTTATATACAACGTCTCCTAAAAAGTTTAACGAAGCAATCACTTTTGAAATTAACGGTTTGTGTGTTTGTATTATGATCACCATTTTTAGTTATAATCAGAATTTTTAACGAGAATAGGTATAATTAATTACTGACATTTAAATTATAAACATAAAAATGGAGCTGTATGTAAAGGAGGCGAAATTAAAATCTATTTATTTTGTTTCATTTCTAAAAATGAAAAGTGCTGTCTAAATAAGACGTTAACTTTATGAGTTTATATGTGTATATGTGTATAGTTCATGTAGTTGTAATAATATTTATATCGTTAGTATAATCGGTTTTTTTTTTCATGTGACAATGTCAACAACAAAAACCTGTTACAATTGAACTTCATGTATCACAAAAATATAAATACTGTTTTGTTACTCTATTAGGCACAGATGGCACGTGAAGTTACTACAAAGGGCACTTATCCAATTTTAATCATAACTCTTGCATGACAGCCATGTAGGTAGGTGTTTCATACAAAAAACACGTAATACGTGCTAAGCTGTCAAAGAGTGCTACTGATTGTTAACTTCATAATTGATTGAATAAATGTGTCATTTTGTAGTAATTGACTGCTGTATCTACTAATTCACTCAAGTATAATTATTTATTAGATGCTGCAATCGACTCAGTATGTGGGCACGTGGCATATGTCGGCGGCATTCAGATCAGTCTTCCAGCAGGCGAACTAGTATGTTCTCTAAGAACAAGAGCATGTCACCCACGCTACCACCAGAGGTAAGATATATTGATACACGTATGCCTTTTTATGAATCTAAAATCTTAAAAAGTGTTAAAAATGGCTTCTTAAGGCACTGTTTTTATAATTAGTAAAAACAATATGGAATTCATATTCAAACGGTCCGATAACTCAATATAAAGCCTAGAAGATCTTCTTCTTAAGGACGCATTCCCACTTTATAAAATAATAAGTTCATACAAAATAATCATTAATTAACAAACGCAAAAAAATCTAAAATAATGATATTTTCTTTTGCTTTAAAATCTTTCTTCATTAATAAAATGGCTAGGCTCCACGTTGGGCGCCAATTTTATTATTGCTCTAAAGATTTTTTTTTATTCTGATAATTCATAAATCCGAATCTGATAACTAACAACAAAGTAGTCACTAACGATGTAATTATAAACATCTATCCAAACGATTAACTTTTTTTCGCACAACACATACTCATATACACACACACACATACACACTAACACACACACACACACACACACACACACACACACACACACACACACACACACACACACACACACACACACACACACACACACATACACACTAACACACATACACGCACTAACACACACACATACGCACACACACTATCTACTTTTTTTTTTCTTTTTATATAATCTTATTTTTGTAATTTTCTTAATCTAAGTTACTACTTACCGTACTTAATTCATAAATCTAAGTTAATATAAAATGTAAAGGATGAGCGAGGCTTTCCCAACACAAGTGTCATTAGACTACTTTCTGAGAAGCCCCGGCCACATATTTGTATGGATTTATTGAAATAAATACTTTTTTATTTTTATTTTTTATTTATTTATTTTTAACTTTTATTTATTTCTATGATTATAGTATCAACACCATTAGATTTTGTTCGAATTTTGATTAATTTGTTTATATACCTCTTACTTAAGGACTATTAATAAAGCCCGTCCAAAAAAGGTGTGTTTGAAATAGTAGAATCTTTTTTTTTTTAATTAGTGCAATACTTCTTAATAGTACAATCGTTGCTTTTGCACAATGACGTCAGTGTTATTTCAAGAAATTAAGATAAATTATGAATTATTCTTTAAATTACATAATAAAAGTGAATATCCACAACGGAAACTGTACGAGTTTTCTAAATACGACATAAGTTACAAATAATCTTATTTGATCAAAAAATCCAGTTATCTGAGACTGGTGAAATTATGAGCATTTTTCTTTAACATATAAGTACCCAAGTTACCGAATTGCAGGACAATCTATGTACAACTATTGTGAGTACTTTCTTAAAAAAACCGGCCAAGTATCAAATCACGTTTGTTCCATACGAGCCGCCTTTAATATTTATTTTACTCTAGTTTTCATTGTGTTTTGTTGAAGCGGCAACAAAAATACATAATTTGTGTAGATTTTCAACTGTCTGACTTTCACGCTTCACGATATACGGCCTGGTGACATACAGACAGCAAAGTCTTAGTTATAAGGTTTCCGTTTTACCCTTTGAGTACGGAACCCTTAAAAACAAATACAAACTGAATTGGTGAATATTTTGAAGGGTGATAATTATTACTGCGCAAGGTTGTTACGTTATTATTCACAACCATTCGGTCGAATAATAACACCAATAGTAGTTTGTCGAGTACACGACTGAAAACGAGCGGGTAGCGTGCTATTCTGATGTCTTCCTGCTATTTAACGAATATGTAGGCAATAGTTACAGGTATTTAATTTATCGTAACAAGTAAATTATTTTTATTGGACTGACTATTAAAAGCAGGTTGTGAGGCAGGTATTTGCCGTCATGCAGGCTAAAAAAGGTTCTATTAACATTTATGGGTCAAGATATAAACCACTATAACAATATTCCTATGGAAATTTTAAACTTAACCTTGCCTAAATTTAAAACTCGTATTAAGAATTGTTTAGTCAGTAAAGGATATAATCATTATACTGTTAATGAATATCTAAACGATTAAACTGCTTGGTTTTAAATATGGCTCATTTTTCATGTATATTTAATTATTTACCGGTGAGCTTGTTTGACTACACATGTGATTCGATTGACGAAAATGCTGTTTTACTTTTATATTTAATCGTGTAGTTTTTTTCAATCTTGACGCAAGCAGCCCTTGCCGAGTTTCTTGCTAGTTCTTGGCGTAGCTCTCGACTGTCACAAGTGCTTGATTACGGTACTCGCTCAAATATTAAAATTTGCAGAATGAAACTATTTATATATATACTTTACCCACTGTCTTCATACATACAACTACGAACTCTCGGGCTATTAATTTGTTAAGTAACACTATCGCTAGTTACAAATCACAAATTATATAGAAATTTAATTGACCTTTCGCTATCCAGGCGACTGTATCCATCATGTTCATGGGTTCGAGTCCCATTTCAGAGTGCCAGGGTCAAAGTGGATTTATTAAGCATTTTAATTAAGAATATTTTTCAGTATAGCATTCTTAATGCAAAATTGATAAAATGTAATATATTAAAAGAACTCATATCTAATTCAAGTCAGTTTCAGGATTGATTTAGATAAACACATTATCAATTTTGAAATCGTTTTAAAAGATCTTCATTATTTCTTTTTTTACTAAAATCGACTGCATAAAAAGTATAACCCTTTCTTTGAACGCAGTTCATACACGTTTATACAAGTCAATATTATTAAAAAATATATATTGTACTGATAGATATAAACATTTTATGGTAAAACAACAAAAGTTTTAAATACGCCAAACTTGTGTCGTTCTTTGAATAAAAAATTTTTTTTTAATGAAAATCTCTCTAAAAGTTTACATTTTGCGGAAAAATCAAAGGTGGGTAGAAGTAGGGCTTTCAATACCCCGATTCTGACATTAGTCAATACCAGAATTTTATTAATATAAACCTTTAACTATCCTTCGTAAGTAATTTTTCATTAAAAATGAGCTGTCAAATAATATGCCTGGCTCTTTCATTTCATTTAACGTTTAATGTTGTCACAGACTATTTTGTATGAGAGCTTTGCTGATAAAGAATCACCATAAAACTCTTACAAACTTTGAATTCCAGTCGAATGTAAAAAAAAATATTCAGATAAACACAGGACTTCTTGCTTTTTAGGTTGAATAAAAATATTTTATCATTATTCTAACAAAATTGTTCCAGTAAAACCTTTAAGACATCCATTTACATTGGTGACATGGGTGGGGACTTCTTGGACTATTCGTATCCAAATCTATGGGATCGAATGCTTTCAGCCAAGGAATTGTGCTTTTACTCCTGGCCTTTTCAAACTGTTCAAAATGATAAAATTCCATATAGCACATAATGTAAAAATATAATTTAACTGTCTGTTTGAATTCATCTGTAACGGTTTAGGTATTGTACGGTATATGAAACGGCTGACTAAGCTTGATAAGTAGAGGTTTATTTATGTTGTAAATAAAAAACTGAAACAACAAAAGAAGAATATACAAGTAGTTTGTATGAATTTCTAAAATTATGATTGTTTGTAGGTTAGTAGGTTATGGTTTGACCGAGCTTTCTGAATATCAGTTGGTTTGTAACTGATATTCAGAAAGCTCGGTTGAGTACTCGGTGGCGTAGTGGATAAACGCCGTGGCCCGCGATCGTTGTCGTTAAGCAACTTTCGCAAGGGTCAGTCGGGGTGGGTGACCAAAAAATTATTATCTCGAACTACTCTGTGCTTCGGAAGGCACGTTAAGCCGTTGGTCCAGGCTGCATTTGCAGTCGTTAATACCCTCCAATCCTCATTGGGCCAGCGTGGAGGCCCATCCTCCCTAATCATCCATAAGGAAGGCCTGAGCCCCTGCAGTAGGAACGTAAAAGGGCTGATGATGATGATGATGATGATTCAGAAAAAGCATTTCGCGTTACTCAAATTTTCAAATTACGTAAATGAATAATAAAAAAGAAATTGTGTTAAAGATCAAAGACAATAAGTTTGGATGCGGGAACCTAGGACAAAATAAACAGTGTGGTACGATGCACCGTTACACAAGTGAAGAAACTCCAAATAACCCTGAGAGCATAGCAAATAAATCGACAAGCATTTCCGGCAATGCTGAAGCCTTGTTAGAGCGCTTTTCCAATGTTTTTGTTGACAAAAAACAATAGCCTTTGTAAAATGTTATGTCATCAGCTTTAACTGAATAAACTTATTGAATAGGTCATATAAAAATTAAAAAAAGATAAAATAATTTAATGTAAATCTAAATAACATTAAAACGAATTTAAATAATACAAACGCAGATTTTCGTACAAAAGTGTGGCGTTTCGCACAAAAACTTTAACGTTCGTTCTTTTAAATTGTATTTAAGCATGAATTAAGGCTTAACATCCCTTAAACATTGTTTAAACTTTAAACACTTCCATATTCATAAAAATTGATAAAGAGCTTAAAGATAATATGGTTGATTTTAAATTACATGGAAAGCTTTCGAGACTCGTCAGTAAATCGGACGGCGAATTAATCCATTTGAGCAATACAGTGTACTTAGATTTAAATGGAAGTACATATTTACTGGATTATTTGCGGACTAAATATATGAAATATTTAAGACGATATTTCATATAATCCTCGAGATGTAAGTATGAAAGTAGATTCACAAAAAATATAAGTGACATATGCATGTGTGTATGGCATCGGTATCTGTAAACAGCTTATGAACATGTGCGGCTCGTCATCAGGTAGTCGTTGTTCTATTTCTTTATATTATTTCGCTATAGTTATACATAACCTAACAGTAAAATTTCAGTTTAAAAATGTTAATTTTGTACTTATTTTTTAGTTTTGAAAATTATTAGTAAATACGTTAATGAACCTATCTTTTTACGTTTACAATTTATTTACGAATGAAAGCTAATTAAACGAATGTTTTATGGGTTTCATATTTAAACCAATGATAGTTAGACAAAGATTAAAAATGGATTTGTAATAGGCAAAGTTAAACATGATTTTAAACAGGGTTTATATTCTTAGACATTGTTTAGTTAAACACATGGTAAATCCCTGTCTAAGATGTCTTTTGTAATAACATAATTTCTACTAGTATCTAGTCGTCACTTAACCTTGGTGACATTTTCACAGTGCCAAGTACTAGCTTGGTCAGTCAAACCACGGTGGAACACGCGAACAAACTTGACTCATCGATTTTATACCATGAAATAAGGAGAAACATTGATTCAGACTTGAATTCGTTGAATTTAAAACGTTCTCATTAAAAGTTTCGAGTTTCTTTAGTTATATTATCATATAAATTAAAACCCTTTCGAAAAAAAATTATGTACTAAATTAAGCATCAATTTCTTAGTTAAATTGCTTTTAAAGAATTATACATAAATTATTTTAAAAAATCACCTTTGCATAAGCTAATAAACACGATCTACGGAGTAACAATGAAATTGGCGGCAACGTGTTGCCTGATTTATTTGTTTTAATATTACCGCCATTGAGGTTTAATATATTAATATCTTGATAAAATATTGAATTAATAGCCACATGTATCAACTATTAGTGTATATGTTATGGATCAAGTGATAAATTAGGTACTATACATAATGCCCGGCCATTATATAAAACGCCCAATATGAAAGGGCAATTTGATAATAATTATTCAAATAATCAAATTGACCGAGCATTATACTTGTACATATTGTCCATTAACTTTTGGGCAATATATTTTATTAGTAATTTTGGTGTGCTTGAACGTTTGGTGTGGTTTTTATAATGACACTTTCCAAAATGTCAAAAGTCAAATCTCACCTAACCTTTATGTTTCTGTTACAAAATAAACAATTCTTGAACACAAATCTGCATACTCAGAAGATAAATTGCATTGGCGAAATGTAATTCGTCTAATACTTGTGTGGCCTAGTGTAAGATTGGAAAAATTATAAATATCCCAAATGTTTTTATCATAGAATACCTATTAATCAGCTTAACAATATTTGAAAGTTGACAAAGTGAAATATATAGGTGAAACGTTGGCTTTCAAGTGATAATCATCCAAACAATTTTCAGCGAAATGGCAGAATCCCTGGTCAAATCGTGTCACGCTTTCTTCCCTCCCTGCACCGCGTCTTTAGCTTTATTATCGAATTGCCCAATTGTATTAAATTACAGTCTACAAATATCCTACATTAGAATGTAGATTAATTATATTTTAATACAAATAAAAAAAATCAGTAGGTAGTGAAATGCTATGCGTAAGAAGCTATGCGTGTTATAGGTCTGAATATACTGAGATAACGGATAACAGAAATGAATAGCGACGAAAAACATATTGCGCCGACCCATAGCTTAGTGCGAGACAAGGGCTAAAACTAGAAGAGATAGTGAAAATGCTAATTCTTTGGTTGTTAAAAAATATATACAATTCTTTTATAAAATTATAATTCTTAAAATCTTGTGTAGCCGCCATCTGCCACTATAACAGCTTGGAGACGTTCCCTCATCGAGCCCACCAGTCTTGAGCAGATATCAGACCCACGTGTTTCCTCCCAAACCTCATTGCAGTGCCCTAGTAGTGCTTCGGCTGTTCGTTCATTACGGTTACACCATCTCTGAACCATAAGACCCCACATATTTTCAATAGGGTTGAGATCTGGCGATTTTGCAGGTCATGGTATCAAGTTTATTTCCGGATGTGCATCAAACCAAGCACGTGTTACCCTTGCTTTATGTAAGGGACAGTTATCCTGTAAATAATTAAATTGACGCATTTCATTTTCTGGATAAACGTTCCGGACGGATGGCAACATAGCATTTTGGAGAACATCAACATAATCTGATGCCGTTGCTCGTGGTGGCAAAAAGGTCAAGTCTCCAACACCATCAGCAGTCATCCATCCATACAAATTTACCGAGATACGACCCGATTCTCTATTTGGCACGACATGATTTTGCGTGTATCGCGTTTTATTGAATCGCCAAAGGTGTAGACGCCCGTGTTGACTGGATTTAAAAGTTTTCTCGTCACAGAAAACAGTGTTACTCCAATCAAAATCCAAATATTCCATGGCGAAATTTAATCTGGCCATTCTATGAGCGTCAGTCAATAAATTTTCTTTGCATTACGCCTGTGATGTAAGCCCATGTAATGTAAATGGTTTCTAATGGTTTGGAAAGTCACGTCAAATATGTCGGCAAAATAACGCGTTGGTATAAAGCCAGATTCCTCATAACTCGCTGAGTATCTGATATTTCAGGTCTACGACCGCTACGACTCCGAGCGTTCAAATTCCCCTCCTCGCTTTCTCGTCTTATCCAAAGACGGATAGCTTGTCTCTATAATCAAAAATAAAATATGAACAGAAAAAATAAAAAAAAATTTTACACTCGGACTTGGTCTGAGATTTTACATTAAACTCACGTCAGGCATAATAATACTTACCGACACATTTAATTCTCTAGAAATCTCACTAATATTCAAACCATCATTGTGTAATGCGATTATTTGTGCTCTTTCGTTAATGGATAAATTTCGGGGCATTGTAGTGTAAATTAATTAGGAAAATACCTACGGAAAATGCCGAGAAAATATTTGACATGAATTGTCAAGTGATATATTCTTTTTCAGTAAAAGAGTTTTCGTAACAAAATAGTTTCCACTTTGAAGTGACCTACTTAAATTTTAAATTTATGAAATATTGTGAAGACTATTTGTTGTTGCAAATTATTATCTAATGCATAGGCTGCAAAGGTCAAAATAACATTTGTGCATCTCTTTTATTGTTTGTATGCAATTCTAAGATTCGCCTTTAGCGATGCTTTAAAGACACGGGAAATGTTGTCAAAACTCGTAGACCACTTTCTTGGCCGACCGTACGTATACATACCTAACAATACAAAAAATAGGTCATTGTTAATATTGACAATATAATTAATGAGTGTTTTAGATACTTCACTTGAGATTTAAGCAATTATTTGTTTTAAATCATATATATTATATTAATTTTGTAATATCTATAATCTGTACAATAGTCTTAATTTAAATGTTTTTATATTAAAATTGTAAAAAAATATCAGTACATTTATTAACAAATGAATTAATCTAAACATAATTTCTGCATAACAGCCACATGTAGGTAAGTACTTGTTCTATTAATAATAAATTAATGCAAAACATTTGCGTGACAAAAAAAGTTTTTCTCAACGATTATGATCTCCTATTAAAACTTATAACAGCTCTTTTTTATACATTCAGGCCAATGTTATGGTGTTATTTATAAAAATAAATGCGTATTATATCTAGGTTAGTAACTTCAAGGCCGTATTGGACATTTATACTTACAATAGAAAGAAATCGATACAATTCAATTCGCAAAATGCTGTCGATGATTACAGAAACTATTTTATTTGACAACTTTGATTAGTGAAGTTACAACTGTCATGCAGAGTGCATCTTCCGTTTGTAGTTTGAAACGAATCAATAAAAAAAAAGTTACCTGAAAATATAATTATAATTTGGGTTATAATATGATAAGAAGTGACAACTTAAAATTAACTAAATTATTCAACAAGTGATATTAAATAAATAAAAATGGCAAACTTACAAGTGGAGGGTGTGTCCCCCTCACCGTCCCCTCAGCTATCGAGGAAGGCAAAAGTGATGATCACCACAGACTTTATGAAGAAAGACACTGATGTAGAAGAAGATCTAGAGGTATTATTATAATATGACATTAATCGTAAACACATTGTAAACACATTGAAGCCAAAATGTTATCTCAGCAGAAGAGTTAAAATAGTGATAAGGAAACAAAAGAAAACTAGCCACTACTTTGGATTTGCTTCAGCGTTATTTCGTAGTAACAGCATATAGTTATAATTATAATTATACCCCTGGAAACTATAATATTATATTTTTACATGATCAAAACTAAATTTGATCATGTAAAAATATACGACGCCCACTGCTGAGCATAGACTTTCCCCATTGATCTCCCCGAAAATCAGTCCTGCGGTGCCAGCATCCAGCGGCTTTCCGCAACGTTTATAAGATCGTCGGTCTACCTGTTGTGGGACCTACCCACTCAGCATTGTCCGATACGCGGTCATCACTCTAGAACCTTTCCGCCCCAACGGCCATCGGTTCTTCTCGCTATGTGTCCCGCCTACTCCCACTTCAGCTGAGTAATACTTCCAGCGATGTCAGTGATGTTGGTTTTCCTGCGGATTTCTTCGTTCCTAACACGAACACGTAGAGAAACACGAATCATTGCTCTCTCAATTTCCCGGTGGGTGACCTAAAGCCTCCTTAAGTTGAATGATATAAATAAATGTATTTTAATAAGAATCTAATTTTACCTAAATAAATAAAATTCTACTATATTAGTAACAGTATTGGCACAGACCTACGTAGTTTATAATGCTGTAAAAACTTAAATAAGAAAGTGTAAGTATGTTTAATTATGTAATGCTAACAATAATAAAAAACAACCAATATAGGTAAATGAACGGAGTCAAGTACACCTATCATTCTTCGATCGCCTTACAATATATTATTTTGATACCATATTATATTAACCCTTATAAGCAGCAAAAGATGAATTAAACTTTTTTAAGTTCTGAAACTAGTGTTTGGGGGTTTAGGTGAATGCAATACAGCAACAAATATTTGGTTTTTGGTAATTTTAATATACAATTAGAATATTGATTTCTTATACGTGTTTTCAAGCGCACTATCCATAAATGAAACAACTTTTTAATGGTTTCATAGTGTTTATATTTCATTTTATTGATGTTTCGAACCCTTTACAGGTTCCGTGACACATAAGAATAAGGTGTTGATTGTCTTTTTTAATTAAGAGTATAGCTACATCGTATGCTTTATATTAAAAGACTTTTCGGTCATAGCAATATCAATATTATATTATCTTGTACAGGATAATCGTAAGAAGCTAGATTCATCGTTGGTTGAGCACACGAGTATGATGAAAGGCGCTATTCCAGTTCTACCCATCGTGTTAGCATACTTCTGTCTGATATGCAACCTGCTTATACCTGGTTTAGGTATGTATTATCAAATTCAGAGTAGAGTGAGATTTAATATCTATGCCTAAACTAGACACTAATCCAGTAGAAAATAAAGAGATATCCATTGTAAATCTTGTAGAATACTGTAGAACGTGGTAGCGACGATACTTATCGACATTATAGGTGTACAAGAATCTGCAGAGCGATTTTATAAAAATCTGAACCCGAATTCGAATTCACTCATGTGTCCGAATTTAGGTTATTTAAATAGAAATTTTATGGATTCCATTTTTGTATAAAAATAAATAACAAGATTGATCGGTTCATGCGTATCTCAGATATTATATTCCTATGTCATTTTGAAACTTACTACACTTATGACACGAATTCGAAGTTGAGCGAATGCCGCTTTTGAAGTGAATTCGGGTACCAGAGTAAATTCGAATTTACATTTTTACAGAACCACAGGGCAGATGGCAAATCGGGAAATATTAATTTGTAGAGGACAACATTAAAGAAAAAGGATAAAGATATCTTGATACTTGTAATATTATTAATATAATAAACACTTTTCAATAACTGCCTCATAGCATTGAACGTACTCCTGAACATATTCCTATCTTGGCAAATTTTCATATAGATTAGCCATCTGCGTGGGACATAATATAGTGCACAAACATACACCTGTAAATACACTTTATATTGCCAACATCAAATATTTTGACGCGGCAGCACCCGGCCCATAAAAAACCCAATAATATTTTATCTGACTGGGAATCTAACACGAATTAATAAAATAAGCTTTACGTTATGTATTTCTTTATTACTAATCGTTCCTAATATTGCAACTGCTGTTACGCTTACACGTCTTAACCAGATTCACTCTAGTTTATTTTGTTCTTACACGGTTCCTAATTTAACCCGGTTTAGAAAAATGCCTTCATATCTTCTCCTTCACTTTTATTGTAGTAGACGCCAACGAATATTAACGAATTAATTCTTTTAAAAAATTATAGTATGAAGACTCATCATAACTAGTTACCGTTCATTTTAAAAACACGCTTTAAAATCATTTAGTGTAAAATCGTTGATCTTCAGCTTTTTTTCGCTCGAGATATCAATGTCTTTTTGGCATTTTCATAAAATAGTTTACACTTTGACTTGACAGTTTTCAACGACGCTGTATTTTTACAGTAGTAGTTAGTTCTATAATTTTGTTGTCAAAGAAAATTATATAGCACCTAAGCTCCGCTTACCTTAACTTTTTTTTAATTTAGACTAATGAAATGTATTCCTTGTAAGAAAATTACGCAGGATATTTTTTCTAACAAAAAGGTGATGAGAACGTGTTGATTTTTTTACGGTTTAACTTATTCCTTTATTATGTTCCTGTTCTTTAATAACCCAACCTCGTAAAATTCATTTCCAGCATAATTGTTTTGCTAACGCGTTACAACGAGAATTGACTTTCACAGACATTTGTGGTAGTGAAGCCTGAATCCCCTTTAGTAAATTTTTGTTTGGTTTTGTAATGCCGAGAATATTTTATGTCCAGGTACGGTCTTGAGCGGCATGTTCTGCGTATGCTTCGGTATACCCAGGTTCGGAGTGTACGACGGAGCCAAACATAGAATAGGTAATAACATCTGCATATTTATTTTAGAGACAGCGATCCATATAGGGTAATATTAAAATCAGAATTATTATTTTTCATTTTATCATTAACGTTTATAAATTTATCCAAGTGGCAGTTACTAATCGTAGGATACTCTCGGTACATAAATGACAATTCTAGTTATTATGCTATTTTCTTTAACTAGATAGCACTCGACGAATCAATTACCACTTTTTGCGTAAATATCACAAGTACTGCAATAATTTTTCTGTTCATTAAATACCGTAAGTAACTCGTATGCATTTTCATAATTGTCTTGTTATGTACATATTTGACAAATACCAACCTCATATGAGGAGATATACCATATTTTTGGAGCAATCATTTTACTCGCTCCGTTAAGAGCTCAACGTTGCCGCTCAATGTCTACATTGTATTTTGTTTAAATGAATCATTTGCTTGACTTAACACTTTGTTACCGCAACTTAAAACTATTTATGGCAAGGATTAATCAAGATTAAAGAACAATGAGTAGGGTTAGGTATTTGTACATCACATTATATAAGATATGATTTGAATTTTGTATTAAACAGAAATATAAACGGCCATACTGCGATCCAAGTCCCATGACGCCATCTAATAGAACAATTATACGACTTGTAATATTATGTTGTTCTGTTTATATTCAGGCTCGCTGGTGATCAACTTGGTGGTGGGTTGCGGGCAGCTATTCACAGTGTTGTTCTGTCTGGTGGGGTGGGGCTGGTCTATCTGGTGGGGCGTCATCATGCTCAAAATATCGCGTGAGTAATCGAAGTTGTGGTCATAGTAGCTTCGCTCTTATAATATAATTTCTATTTGTTCTGTTAACATGAGCAGTGTTCATTAAACGTATTTATATATATATTCTAAACCGTTCTCTAGTTACGAATATTTTATTTAATGATAGCTACTACAGATAAACTTATACAGGTGTTGCATAAGTTATGCGACTGTTAATTTACAATTTTATCCACTATTATTAAAGCACCACGTTAGGGCGCCATAAAAAATTTGGCGCCCAAACAGTAAAGTCTATGATATCCAAAAATTAATTTCAAATGTTTTTCATTAATGTAGGTAAATATCGTAAACTGAAAGCGGAAGAAGCGGCAGCCGAAGCTGAAGCAGCACCTCCGGTCACTGCTAATAACCACACACGTGCGTAACCACACAAGGATACGCCAGCGTGATATGACTGCCACTTTAATCGATCATAATACATTCGTCGTACATTCAACTAAATGTAAAAAATATGATAAAAACTATTCGATTTCGAAGAGTGAGAATTTTAAAGGTATACCTATAGTGACTCGATATACTTTCTCCCTTGTGGTTTATGAAATTTTGTATAATATGAGATGACGACGAAGAAAAATAATTTAATTTCTACGTAAAATTTAGAACTAATTAAATATAAAAACCACTGTATATTAAATACCAAATTAACTTGGAGTAATTAATAAAATGTCAAAAAATTAAGGTAATTGATATTAAAAATGTGTAAAAAATATGATTCGTGTAAATATGATAAGAATTTTTGAATTACCACGGTGCATAATTAACTTTGACGAGCGGATGTTGATAAAGTCTTGTAAATTATTATGAGTCTGCTGGTCAGAATATAGATTTCAATTTGACCATTGTACGAATGGAGTTTTTTTTTCTAATAATCACTTCCATTCGAAGTTTTCCGGCCTTTATGTGGCCTTTTTATAGTATAAGAATAAAACAAGGCGTGGGGTCCACCACAGAAATGCGACCAAAAATAATTTCGATAACGTTAATTGTATCAAAATGATAATAATATTTATATCATAAATACCATTTACAGGAGCCTTTATTTTGTTATATTTATTAATTAGCAAAGCCATGATTCTCTGCTAATTACTTTTACTTCATCTTTAAATTCATTATTAGTAACCAAATAAAAATTTGTCGCTTTACTGTGTCGAGCCCAAAGTGAAACTATTGTAATATTATAATAAGCCCCAAGTGCTTCAGAGTGGTAAGTGTAAGTTGTACGTTGACGCTTTCACTAGTGAGCCCGTTAAGAATTTGTATAAAGATTTGTGGTTCTTGGTAGTTACCGCTAGGGGTGTTGTACCAGATTCTATACAAGATTCTTAAAGCGCTCACGATCGACGGTGAACGTAAACGTCGAAAAACTTACACTAAGCGTTCTGTATTCGTAAAGCAAAATCTTACAAGATAGAAGACTTATTTGAAATTTTAACACTGACAATATCTAAAATATTTTAATACTGAATTAAAATATAGGAAGTATTAATTGGTAAAAGAAACCTATTTGTTATAATGACTTTCATTATATTGTATTTCTCCGTAATCTTCTATCTTGCTGATTTTTAAGAAGAATGTTAACTAAGTACTTATAAACATAAGAACTTTTTCTAAACGACCAAAATGGAACTTTGACAAACCAATTAAGTAGCGTTTCATGATATTGGTCACTTTTTTAGCGGAAATACAATAAAATGTAGTTTTTTTTGACATTTTTCAATTAACTTATATTCAATATTAAATGTAATTTATAAAACAGTATCATATTTTTTGTATTATTGTTACTTATTTAAATAATTTCAATTACTAATTAATAAAATACTCCTTAGCAGAGTTGAAGTTTTATCTGATATCATAGACTTAAAATATTCCAACGATAAACCTAAACGTGCTTAAAATCTACCAAGAATAGTACATTGTGTGCGGTTTAAATTTAAGTAAATAAAACTTCAAACAGGAACAGGCAGCTACAGCAGTGATAAAGGAGTTTTTTTTTTCATAAAATTTCGGTAAATAAGTTGCTGAAAGTATACTTTATAAATATAAGAAAGTTTTCCAAATTCAACAAGGGTTATAATTATTCTACTAAAACCATAACCTATACCATATTTAATTGATGATCCTAAAACTAATACGTTCCACCACATTTTACTCTTATTATTATCAAGTTCTTCCTTAGTTTGTAAAAGAAATGTTTTCCATAACGATTGTTACTTATATTAAGTTTAATATGTATTATATTATAGTTGCTTGTACAACGAATAATCAATAAAATAACTTATATTAATGAACCGTCTTTTGATTCATAAAATGAATTCTTTAAGTTTGTATGGTACTGATATTCGTTACTTGCTCTCTTGTACTGGTTAGTGCATTTGATCTTCGATACCATTGTTAAGCAACTTGCGCGAAGGCTGGTCATAGGATGGGTGATCAAAAAATCACAAGCTCCTTGATTCGGAAGGCACGTTAAGCCGTTGGTCCCGGCTGCATCTGCAGTGGTTAACACCCTCCAATCAGCAATGGGCACGCGTGGGTTATGGCTCATTGTCCCTGTTCGTTTCTTCAAAAGATTATAAAGCTTTTATTTGGTTGACCCTGTAATACTGTGACAACAGTATTTTTACAGAATAACAAAATCTGTGTACGAACCTCTCCCAGATATAAATATTTTAAATAAAAGTCAATTTGTATTATAATATCACTTTATTATGGTTGTATTATAAATAGAGTAATAGTTTACAATGGATACAGACAACTATGACTTTACATGGGCTTGCGAAACTCTAAAATAAACGTGTTATTTTTAATAATTTATGACTGTGAGTTCTCCATTGATTTTTATTTGGGGTTTTAGCAAACTAATTTTACAAAATGCCGCTATGAAATCATAGATTATTAGTTTTGTATTTATTCAATTGAAAATTTATGCTTGTATTACGAAATAGTAACAATGTCAAGACAGTATTTAGGATTTCATTAAAATATATTCTGCACGAGGCATACTCTGTTCCTAGGCGAAAATACAAGTCTTGACCCAAAGTATTATATCGTAAGAATAAACGATACATATCGGTTTCGATAGAACTTTGTGTCGTCTTTATTGTTTTACAAAAATAATTAACTCTGATTGTTTTTTAAAACGGCGACATCAAAATTTGCTTCGATATCAGATTCTATATAGATCTTAAAATTAAAAAAAAATATCAGTCAAGATTTATCATTTTTGAAGAACGGTAATGACTAATGACGGATGTTTCTATTCCATGGAAACAGTACTGAATTTTGTTGTACCGGATCCACTAGGTCACTGGCCCCTCCGCGTACATAAAAACGCAATCAGTGCGTACTTCGCGTACCAGGTATATGGTAACGATTCGTATCGTCTACTATTAACGCTCACGTAACACTTTTGGTCAATTCTCGTTTTTTCGTCTGCCTTTGTAAATAAACAATAATTTAACGAACTCGAGACTCGACAAAACGGCCAGAGTGAGATATTGTATATAATATACCCGAGAAAAGATACATTTGTGTGTAGACAAAACGTGTCTCGAGTTCGTCACACAGGGCGGTCTAATATTAACCAGGCATTTGTGTTAAGGTACTTTGAAAAATAAATAATAATGAACAGTAAAATAAAACATTTTAACAAGTCACGTCAATTATTGTTCGACAATTTTATGAACAGCCAGAAATGAGTAAAATGTATTAGTAAAAAAACTTGAATGGAATTTGCACTTTATAATTATACCTTCTCATCATATTTAAATAGCGAATCTAAATAATATGGAACTCATACATACCAAAAATTACGTTTCTAAGAAATCAAGTTTCAAATTTGCCCATTACTTTTAACAACTAGCGTCAAGGTGATCATGTTTTTGTTTAAAATAATGTTGATTATTGATTTACAGTGTTTACTATAGCAAATTCATAGGTTGTTGCAATTTTGACCTGGATTTTAATAAAACCAAAATCTTGAAATTGCGTTACGAATATAGTATTAGTTCAAATATCCCACGAAAGTAACTTTTTTTTTAAATGACGTAAAATATATGAACATGCCGTTTATATTATTAACCGTAGCGATCTCGTATTTTATATTTAAATCTTAATTAAAAAAATCTCTATTTTGACGCTAGTGTGAATGACGCTAGTCTTAAAGACTGCTGTTAGTACTATTACGAAGACAAAAAACTTCGAGCTAAAATTTTGAGATCCGTGACGTCTATCTTTTAGGTCCTTTATATTAAAGAAATACTAGAATTGTATTAATAATTTCATTTCACTCCAGTCGCTTCTAACTTGATCCATTATTTTTTCCAGTCTGACAGAAAATATAAATAGAAATATAGGAAACATTAATATTAGCTCAAACTTGCGGGATAATGACGCCTTACCATGTTTTTGCACACGGCGCACGCGCAGCTGGATATGAACATTTTATATAAAAATAGTTTTCAACCCCGTATGTTAATTGAAACCGATTCATCAATGATATCTTGAGGCCTTAAGGGTGTAAATAAATACCAATTTACCAAATGTCGTCAAGGTAATGACATTTTAACAAATAAAAATTGACAAATTCAGCTACAACATTAACGGAATGAATTTTGTCTGCTAAATTAGAGCTATTTCACATTAAAAGTTGATGATGATGATTCCCATCAAGGAATTTGACATTTCTGTAACAACAAATTTAAAGGAAGTACATGAAACAATTATTTAATCTTTATCTCAAGTACCTAAAGTTCAGTTTAGCATTTTTCATGATATTATGATAAATCATAGACTTTACAACGGCTAGAAATGCAACTGAAAGATATTACAACGCACACATATTTTTGAGGTGACACCTAAAACATAGTGTATATATCAAATTTATTTTGCACTCATTATTAACAGAATCACTCGGTGAAACTACTTATAGTGTAATAATTGCACAACACCGTCTAAAATTATACAAATAAACAAACCAATTAGCACCTCAAATACATACCGGGACGCCATTTTATTGATACAAATCATCGACTACAATTCGTGATACAGGCCTATAAACATGTTTTGCATTAATCGAAACATTCTCTTTTTACTTTTAAAACATTAAACAGTGACTCTGTTGATGTATCTATTTTGTGATATCTATAAACATGCCGTCATTTCAAGTTTCTTATCAAACATAGTTAAAGTAGGATTAGTTGACGATAACATTTCGAAAATATGTTAGCAACTGACAAATTACATGTGTATAATGAGCATAAAAAACAAAATATAATAGCTTAAGTAGCCATTGAATTAGATAGATCAACAGGTTTTTATCGAAAAGAAGACATGTTTATGCTATTTCAAAGCCTATGGCAAAAACTACTGTGCATAAAAAATATTACAATGCACATATATTTAAAGTCGTTTTTACTATAACAACCATTGTTTACATTAATTTTATTTACTATACTGAAAAACTGATGTGACTGCCATCACATACTTGACATCGCGCTACCATAAAATGACAAATTCCCTCTATCTATAATAAACTTGACGATCAATAAATTAAAGTTTAAAATTAATTGGTGAAATTTTATTGTTTAAGATGGTCATTATTTATATAGTAAACAAAACGTCAGGCTGTCAAATTTCTGCACTTGATTTCATACCTAAATGTTTTGAGGGTAGAGTTTAAAATTTGACGTGTTGTGATAACCTGACGTCCAGCAGTGTGTACAAAACTGCAGTTTCTACTTGCTTTATGAATTATGACGTCACGTATATTAAGGATTTTTAAATTAGAATCGTACACATTTCAAAAGCACACACATTTCACTAATTGTATTATGCAAACTTTTATAATATGCATTAAAAATATTAAGCTTGCAATACCTAATCAAAAAAACACCATTTATTATTGATTTTAAAATATGTTAATTTTATTTCTATTAAATCAATCGATCATTGTATAGTTCATCGGTTTTGTGACCAAAAGGCAAGAGGCTAAAATAAATAAATTAAATGACTAAAATATTTATATTTACATTAATTTACGAAAGCGTTCGTCCATCAATAAAAAAAAACCTACCTAAAAAAATCTACACTACCTGTAGAAGGTACAAAAAAATAAATCATTTATGGCAAATTGTACTTACATATCACCATTTTGACATATAAAAAAACTCTAATAAAAAACATATTTAAAAAAATAACGTGTTCAAGATTCCGGTGGATAATTACGACTCACATTTCATCATGAAAAGAAAAAAAAATATGACAATATAATTTAAATAATAAAATTATACATTAAACTAACATTGTAAAATTCAAATAAGCCTAGTAGGAAAAGAAAACTTCCCGAAAGAAAAACGAAATGCTTTCGAAACTTTTTCGATATTTACAAAATATTATCCACCGGTCGTCTAAGCACTCTTTGGTAAAACACCAAACATTTATAAAGCGTTATCATGTTAACGGGATCCAACCGCTCGTATACCGATTCATGATACTTAATATGGCCATGTAAATACATTTCCATTTTGTAATATTGATAAACAACTATATATCACCTACTCAAGGTACGCCTTATTAAACAGCTACTAATTATGGCCCATGGTCCTAATACAGTCCATTCTAAAGGCAGACAAAAAACGGACATTAACGTCAAAGTAAACGATACCTATCGCTACCCATAGAACTTATCATTTCTATTCAGTGGTGCGACTCAAGCCCTGTTTTTACTTGAGTCACTCGAATGAATTTGTTAAATACGTCGATTTTAAAAATAATACTCGTTACAGAGTCAACTCGGCGCATCGAGTTGATTTTTTAGATGTTATTTCACTACTCTACTTATCTATGCCGATTAAGTTTTTTTTACTTTATTGAATACTCAAATAAAAACTCATGTATATAACGATATCTCTGTATAATTGCCACAAAGTTCTATGGATAGCAATATATATATTTTTGATTATTGTCTCTTGCATTTTTTGTCTGCTTTAGAAAGATTATAGAAGAAAAAGCGTTTTATAATTTAAGTTAGAACAAATACGATAGCGAACTAACTTAAGCTGGTGAGTTTTTTCGCACGTTTTTTATAACGGCCTAAAGACGTCCTGAACGTGTAATAGGTAAACAAAATTTCATTCAAATGTACTATTTATAAGTATATTTGAATAAAGATATTTTTGAATTTGACTTTAAGGATATCTACTATCAGAGTATGTTTATAATCAATATTAAATGTCTCCATATAAATTAAAATGAGAATAGAAGACAAACTATTCTTATTCTAATTTAAATGGAATAAGTTTGGTGTCGATTGATACGAAATACTCGATAATTAATCAATAGATCCTTTTTTAATAAGTACCTATGGGTAGGACTTGTCGCAACAACTGGGTGTTAATTACTTAATAACAAATTTGAGTCAGGTCTCAGGTTTTACTGGTAAATTTACAATCTTCATAAAAAGCGTAATCAACGTTGGTTCCTGTTCGCATAATAACGTCCATTTAACGGTACATTAACGATAAGATTAGGCTATTAAAATGCTAACGCGTCAGTAACATTACGGAACCATTCACATGAGTATTATCGTCTCGCAACTAGTGTTAAATTTTAATTGTCCCCAATAATTACGTTATATAGTTAAGCTTTTTTGCAAAAAAAAAATGGTAGACAAATATATAAGGATTTTGAAAATTTGTGTACTTTATTCCGTTTGCAATAAGAATAAGAATTACCAAGGAGTATATATACACATATTATCAAATCCTATTAAGCCCTCATTTCTTCAACAAACAAATTAATCAATAATTTAAATACCTTAATTATAGAGTACAATCAAAATGTACGCAGCAATATTCATTCTATAAGCGCATATTACATTTATGCCATCCACGAATTCTTAACGTTTCGTCGATTTTATATTTTAAATTTAGCACATAAAAAATTAAAGTTCAATAATTATTTATTAAATTACTAATATTATTATTACTAATGGACTCACCGATACGAGAATACAAGGACGCATCACAAATATATCGTCGATAATTCTTAAAAAATATACAATAATATTTACTGCGGGATTCGTGCAGAATGCGTTTTAATTTCAATGAAAGATAAATTATAATTAAAGGAAAATTATAGTATTTGCAATAAATAGAAAATATTAAATCTATTCTAACAAAATTAAAATTAATTTAATTCATTTCAAATTCATACATAATATTATTAGTTTAAACAGATGGCGTTGGTGTCATATTTTGAATGTTTCTAGATCAAACCACTAAGGAACCATTTCTTTGAAATGGCGCCAAAACTGTAAGACAATTATTTTGAGACACTTCACTCAGTCACCCATTCGTTCACTAGTTCATTTTAAATATGATCAATAATTGTTGAGAATTCGTTTAGAATTTAATAGACTGATAATTCACATAACTATATAATACTTATAAAGATAAGACTAAGTGCAAAACGCATTCTGCCCGTTGTACTATGTATGACAATAAATATATGGCGTGCAAGTGTCCATTTGACTATAGTATTTATTCACTGGAGGATACAGTTGTTTTTGCGTTGTATCTCCACTTGGGAGAGATTGCGCTCTATCGCATCGTCGTCGGCTATCCTGTGGAAGGAAAATAGTATGAGAACAAACTGATCTAAGAAATAATTGCTATGGGCTATTGTAAATCTTATACAATACAGTTATTGACTGTGATCAATATTAAATCAAAGATGTTCATTATTTATTATCCTTGAATTAGTAATTTTTAATAAACATTTTCGAAAATAAAATCACTATTCTTGAGATTCGTGTCACGCTTTAAAAAAATATACAAAAGATCGACGACATAATATGGCTAATATTAATGTACAGTTGTTTAGGCACCATATTCACAATGAAAATGGTGTTTTTGGTCTTATCTTGCATAATTTGCTGAAAAAATATTTTTAAATAAGAACATATAACTGTATGCTTTCATTTTAATATATTTTTGAAATCTGTCAATACGCTATTTATATTTCAAAATTAATATTTAATCTTACGCTTTCTCTTGCTCGTCCATTTCTTGCACCAGTCTGTCTCTTTCATTTACCGCCGAGAGCAGCTCCTAATAAAACGCAGAAAGGTAAATTTCAACCGAGCTATACATTAATAGAAAAACCTTCGCCGACTTCAGATGAATAATGACAAATACTAAAATTTCATCAGTCATTAATCAGTTGATTACTAAAGAAAATCGCCAGTCTCATCGAGGCAGTGGTTCCAAACCTTTTCATAATTTACCCCTACGACCTATTAGGAAGACTTTTTTTACTATGATCATCATTTTAGCGGTCTACTCACAAAATCCACTAAAATTATTTTTGAAAAGTATCGAAACGCTGCAATATGTTTTCCATATTTTATTATTAAAAAAAGTTTGCAACAAAAATATTTTTTATATGTCAACTAACAAAGTACCTAATTAGTTTTAATGTAAATTTATTGGTGAAATTAAAAAAGCGAAGACAACGATATGTATATAGATAGTACCTTTTCAAGACTTCGTTTGCATACAAAAACGTTTTAGACGAGCTGGAAATTGAAACCCTCAATTATTGTCATAATGTTTTAAATACCTGTAGCAGCAGTCTCTCTCTTCTCTTCTGTCCAGGTGTCTTTCTCCACTCATCAACACCTAGCGATAAACGCAGTTCACGCGCTAACAGCTCGCAACGACGACTCAAATCTTCTTCTTGCTCGCTAACAGGTATAACAAGAAAAAAAAAACATTTAAATACCAGACAACAAAGACATAGCAAATATCTGATACTGATTGGATTTTACCCATTCATCACGATCGTGCAGTAGCTACTTTAATAGTACAAAGAAAATTTTCAAAAATTTTAAAAAGTGTAAAATAATACTTTTCTTAAAAGCGATTAAAAGCGGAAGCAGTTTCCATTGTTTTTTTAAGTTTTTATTTCATGCATTTTAATGATATTTTAAGTTTTGGGGTAATAAACATCACGCATACTTAATGCAAATTTAAGACTTATATTTTTTCTCATAGATTCCTTTGCCAGATCTGGACCAAAAGCTAGTGCTTGCCGTGTGGTTCCATTTTAAGAAGCAAGCACTAGCTTTCAAATAAAGAAAGAATCATCAAAATCGGTCGATCCCGTAAAAAGTTATATGGTAATAAACAAGAAGAAACTCCTCGTTTTTCTGAAGTCGTTTGAAAGTAGTTTGAACCTAAAAAAACATTTACAATTTAAACTTTATTGTTCTTAAATAAATGGCAATTTAATTTTTAAAGACAGCAAATTAGTGACATGTCGTTTCACGAATTGGCAGTTTCATATAGGTAGATTGTATTTAAAGCAGGAAAGATGTGCGCTACCGTTTTTAAGAACTCGACTGAGCTGTATAACCCTTCATGTTTTTTTTTTTAATAATTTATTTTATGTATATAAACCGTGTAAGAGCAGTTCTATGTCATTACAGCCTAGACGTGTCGGTCATATTCAGAAACACTGTTAACCAATGCCCATTATTTATCTCGAGAAATCGAAAAAAGATCGTTACCCTAAATACTACTTACAGTATATTGAGCTGCATTTGTCTGCGTAGAAGTGCGTTTTTCTTGTTAACAAGGTTGAACCATTGTGACATCAACCTGTCTTCTTCCTATTAACAAAATTTAATTTTAAAAAACAAATCTTATCTATAAATAAACATACAAATCGAATATTTTAATAATAACTATGAAAATAATATTTTAATAATACGGTATTCAAATAAATAACTATAATTAAATTACACTACAATTTATCTTTACAAATTCAGTTTATCAATTATCCCCAATATCAGTGTAAAAATCATTTATATAAAAAATATGGTTCTATATTTCTAACATAATATTTCACGTTTTAGTTTCTAAACCTTTTTAAAACCTTTATAATAATTATAAGGTAACATAAATTAAGACAACAAAAATTGTTATCTCAAACCTCTGGAACTGCTCCCCTATATGATGTCGATTTAAAATTACAAGTAATTACGTAAACAATGAAATATACATAGATACTTATTTCAAATTACACTATAATAACAAATTCCATAATAACAAACTACACGATATCAACTACTAAAATCAACTTTATCACTCTTTAATTATGTACTCTATGGTTTGTACCGGATCTGTGGGTGGTTGCACGCACGATATAATAAATCTTCGCCATTTTGTCTGAAATCGTGATTTTTAAGATGTTTATTAACATATCATAAGTACGATTATTGATTCTCACCAATCCACCAATAGCCATTAGCAATAAATTACAAAACAAAATTTCCTTTTTTCTTTTTATTTAACATTGCCCGCGACTTCGTCCGCGTGGTAAAGATACTTTGAGCAGCTACCTAACGAATATTTATTAATTATATCATGTAAAATACCTGAAATAAAGTTTAATACCTTATTTTATCCACTTAGGGGTGGAATACATCAAAATTCTTTCTTAGGGGATGCCTACGTCATAGTAGCTTTTTGCATGCAAAGTCTCAGCCCGATTGGTATAAAATTGACAAAGTTTCATACAAAATTTAATTCCCTATTTTACCCCATTGGGGGTAGAATTGATCAAAATCCTTTCTTAGCGGATGCCTACGTCATAACATCTACCTGCATGCCAAATTTCAGCCCGATCCGTCCAGTGGTTTGGGCTGTACGTTGATAGATCAGTATGTCAGTCAGTCACCTTCGAGTTATATATATTTAGACTAGCTTTCCGGCAGCGGCTTTGCCCGAGTGGTTCCGTATTCCACATAAACTTCACCTCCTATTTCAGGGTAGGGATTGAATTTCTAAAAATCGCATTTTAAATATATAGATTTAGTTAAGCAACAATTATAAAAGTTGAATCATTTTAAAATATCGTGCAATATTTTCGTGTGTCCATTATCGGAACGTGAAATTATAATTAGGTTTCTTTTTATTTGTTCATGTAAGTTTCGGTTATATTATTCGTTAAAATTAGTTTTGGCTTCGGCCAAATCTACACCTGATAATAGATTATTAATAATAAGACCACACAGCGCCACAAATTGGAACTATGGAGCCATCGTTTTCAATTGTCATCATACTTTACTCTTTGTTGTGTGTGCACGACGCGTGATACAATTACTTTGTTTTGTGATTTTATACATATAAATAGTGCCGAAAGGATTGAAAAATGATGCAAGAATCATGATTTTGAAAGTGTTTTGTCTTTTATACAAGAGATTTCTAGTCCAAGGAAAAAAAGGGAAAGAGTAAAAACCGAAAAGTCGAAATTGATGATTTTGAAAATACAATAATTTTATACCATCAAGAAAAAAGTACCTACCATCCCAAAACTAAGAGTGGCATAAACACTATGCTCATGTAAAAAACATTGAAATTGAGTACTTAAAAGAGACGTTTATATGGATGGACGATTCATCATAAATTTAAGAAGCGATAGCGAAAGTGAAAGCAGTGATTCTGACTATGAAATGGCCAAATTTGTAGGTTCGAGTACAGGAATTTCACACGATCATAATTACAATATTAAAATTGTTCATAAACAATCCTACTGTTTTAACATTGATGCACCTGTCTTCGGTTTCATTCCGAATTTTACTGTTTTTCAATTAGCATTCAGCACCACCCATTACACTATACAAATATAATCCGAAATAACCAACTGCTACTCACTTGAAGCCACAGAAAGACACATAAAGAAATTCAGCATAAATATATATGAATTTAAAAGGAACAGAAAATAAAAATGAGGAAATTGAGGATTAAAGTGGAAAGTAATTTAGTTTTTTATTTCGTTTCATTTCTCTTTTATTTTTTATTTTGGGATAAATATTATAATATAACAAAGTTTAAGTCCTGATAACTAATAAAAGTATATGATTGTTTTAATTACATGTGTACAGTATGAAATATACATTTTTTACTTAACCTACTGTTTACTTATTGGTGAGCTGTCGTTTTCTAGTTTCTTAAGGATGGCAATACTATAAAATTGTATTGTATAACAATTACTAAAATTCCCACCTCTCTATGAGCACTTGGCTGTCATTATTATTACCCTAAAAACTGGGGAAATAATATTTAATGGCAGTACTGAATTCAACAACAGCGACGCTGTCACCGTATCAGATAAGTTTATGGCACTGTACACTGAATTTCGTACTGTTAGGGGTAGCCCGTGATTTCCAATACGTAAACCCCAATGGTTCGATATAATCTGTTATTTTTAAACATTGTCATTAAGTCCATATGCGCCTAAATCGTGTGATTACCTCAGTGTTGCCAGCTGCTTCCATGACACGTCGTAATTGTTTCTCTAAAGCGGCCGCTCGCTCGTCGATGGATTTCTGTTCGCGCTCCAACGCTTCTAATTCACTTTGAATATACGAACCGGTCTCTCGACTCTAACAAAAAGTAGTTTCGTTTAATTGACATTAATTAAATCTGAATGTTAGTATTAGAAACGCTGAACTAAATCAATCAAAAATCATATCTACTAAGTGATATATAAAAGTTAATCAATTAAAATATTAAATACGAGACATTATAGACAGTCCAAACAGAAAGAGTGGACTAATAAAGCTAGTACACGTATACACAAATTTAAAAGTAGAAATTATTCTCAATAAAAAATGCTTAAATCCACCCTGCCACTCTAAGATGGTACTCGAACCCATGACCTTTCTCAATCAAGGCTCTAGCTCAGTGGCCGCCCACATTATCATAAGTTCGAGTCCCATTTCAGAGTGCCAGAGAAAAGTGGATATTTTAAGTATTTTTCAATATTTTTCAGTATTGCATTGTGAATGCAAAATTTATCAAATATAATAAGAAGAAATCAATAAAAAATCATATCTTTTATGCAATAAATAAAAATACGAGACATTACAGTGAATTCTCAAAGCCTTTTTATTAATTTGAAAAAAGTCATCATCGAATTGAATTATGATTTGAATATCAATTGTGCCGATGATAACATCCAATATTATTAATAAATAATTAATAACGATAATAATAATAAATACCTAGTTAAGTATACTTACTTCATCAAGGTTATCTTTATCAGGCGTCAGTCTGTCGACTAGTGCTGAGAAGGACCTCAACGGGGATCCCCCAGTCGAACCGCGACCATCACGACCGCTGCTTTCACTCAACTCTTCTATAGATATAATTGAAGTTAACAATGAAGTTTACATAAAAACTTTTTAATAATATTTTTTTCCTTAACACTAATTAAAACTTTTTAGATATTAACAAACGAAATTGGATTATCGAAAGTAGTAGTATAAAAACTCTTTTAATTTCCTCATCCAACATTCGAGACTTGGTCATGAAGAAGAATGGTTCCAATAAATCAGCATATAAAACAAGGGTTGTTTGTTTGGTTTACTGACCTGAAGCATCGGGACTGACAGGGCTGCGTCGAGTGGGACTAGCGGGACTCATGGGGGACTCCACACCTCCCGCTGCACAAAATTACGATGCTATTAACGTCCACTATGTTTTATCGCGTACACTGTCAGAAATCCGGCCATTTCCATTGGTGTTATTTACTATCTTTAAAATGTCTAGTTAGACTGTGATGAAATTTGATAGAGATATCGATTAGGTAAAAATATAGTTTAGTTTCCAAAATGTCACTCTGAGTCTGAAATTCAATCTTGTATTTGCAGTCAGTTTAATATTATATCTTAATGGTGGGTGGTCGAAGCGTTATAATTGTACACTACAATTTATTTATACCTTAACATGCTTGAAATTTCTAACTTATGCAACTTTATGTGGTCCTTAATATGTGTGTAATACATGTGTGTAATATTTTTTTTTCGGGTAGTGTTTAATATACTATTACCGATAATAACACTCCTATGCTTAATATATTTATAATATTGCTTAAATTAATTATGAAAATACTAATATTTTATGCTCATTGTCAACAGTTGCAAACATCGCGTGACGTCACGCCCCTCTTACTCATATCTGAACTTAGAAAATTAAACCTTATGCATACATAGAACGATATTAGTTTTAAAGGGGCGTGACGTCATTGCGTCGCCATGACAGAAGTTGGCGTTTTAACGAGAAAATTTGAAAAAATATTTTATATTTTAACTTATTATATGAATGATACTTTTTTAGATATATTTAAAAAGTTATCTACTATATGTCTGAGTGTGTGTTTACCTGCTGCAATCTCATCCATAAGAGACTGCTTGGAGATTATCTCTAGCGTTGGGCGCGTGCGCGAAGGAGATAAGGGCGATGTGGGACTGTAGACAAACAATAATACTCATTAAATAACCACTCATACCATTATAACTCGTATGAACTAACATGACACCTGAAGGCCTATTCTGTACGTCCTTGAACGTAAATTCGGAATATTTTAAAACCTTATTATAACCTTGTTAAATTCATATCCGTAAAGATTAACTGTGCATCAGAGGTAATGTTCGATCCTATCACCGTTGCACCATAAATTATCAAAATATGCGGTTCTTTGGAGTCGCACACTTCAAAAAATACAAAAAAGTAAAATTTTCGATTAGAATAGATCTTTACGTGTCATGATAATTTGTACGAGTAGTCACTACATTTCTAAATGTAAATAATAACAAAAGGCACTCGTGACGTACACCATCGCTTTGTAAATATACAACAGGAATAGTACAGTAAAATACGACTACTTTAAGCCCCGCCCTGTGTGAGTTAGACGGATACCTAGTGCGTTAAAACTCAGTACAAATTTTAACATCGGTTGTGGTCGGCGCATATAAAAATTTGCCATGAAGCATATTAGTTGGATCTAGTGTACTGAAAAAATCAATAAGACTCTCTCTCTTTCTCACTCTCTCTTTTCTCTCTCTATCTCTCTCTCAGCATAGTTGTTTACTCCACTGCTGGATATATGCCTCTTGGTAACTTTTCCATTTTGCTCTACTAACAGCGATCTTATTCTTATTTATTTTTGTTATTAGTTACAATTAATTTTACCTAAGTATACCGGCTCTCGCATCCGCTATTAGTTTTCTCGCTCTCTCCCGGAGCATCGCTTGTCTTTCCTCTTCTGTCATCGGCTGCAATAATTTATATACATCAATCTCATGTCATTACATAATAGTAAAATAATTTTAAACGTACCCTTAGTCCGAAAAATTATCGAGTGTGAACTGAATAAGTATCCAGCACAAATGTCACATTTTGTTATTGATATTTGGTAAAGAAATTTATTAATGCAACTTTCGCAAGGGTCGGTCACAGATGGGCGATCAAAAAATTACTCCATGCTACAGAAGGAACGTTAAGACACCCCAACTGCGTTTACAGAATACCATCCAATCTGCATTAAGCCAGCTTGGAACCCTCCATGGCTCAACCTTAACCATCTATAAGGAAAGGCTGAGCCCCTGCAGTGGGGACGTAAAAGTGCTGATAATAATAATAAATTGTTTTATTATAAGAAGGATAATGATCGTTTTTCATTTGAATTGATACAGTATTCGTTACTGTGATTGTACATACGATATGATAATAAATCTATCAAATTTAAACAAATAGATCCACAACAATTTCAATATCCCTAACTCTTAAATTTTCTTCTGCTCTTCGGATAAAGATTAGAAACTTACATTTTTGCCTCAAGCCCAACCGAAATAAAAATCAAATAGTATATGCCACTCCCAGAATTAGAATACTCTTGTTAACTATGAATGATGTAATGAAAAAAAACAAAGATATTTTACATGACTATATAATTTTTTTACTTTAAACACACCAAATGGAAAACCCCTTTGACAAACACAAACTGATTTCAACAAAACGACGCAAAATTTACCTTGTTTAATGTTTCAACACAAAATTGCTTCATAAAAAAAAAGAAAATAGGTCATAAAATTGGATCAACATACCTTCTTTGGACTCGTATCCCCATTCCTAAGTCCGTTCTCTTTAACAACCTCGTTTTGTTCCTTCTCTTTCGAACTCTGCCTTTTCAATCTATCTTTCTCCCTCGCTTCTCGTTTCGTAGCTTCCAAGAGCTGTCTAGCTCTTTCTTTTAATTCATCGTGTCTAGATAGTAATTGCTATAACGCCCATACAAATCAACCAATCGGGAAACGTTTATGTCAATTAGAACAAACGATTTTGGCCAATGGGAACCGTCCAAACAGTCCATCGAAGCGTTCGAAGCGTTGAACACACAAGCAAAGCCGATGGCGAAGGCAATGAAAAGAAATGATTTAAATGAGTTAATGCATGAGAAAAATATCACGGCTGCACAAATCCTAAACTTACTTTTGATAACAATGCTAAGATATCATCTATCTGCTTCTTTTTTTATTAGAAAAAAGGGAGAGAGTATGAAATTTGATAACATTTACAAGGTAATTAGACCTTATATATTGTATTGGAAATTTTATTACTTTTCTTATATAAAACGACTCCTTAAAGATATATGCAATTTAATTTCAGTTAATTGTGCAACAGAAACAAGTTCTCACTGTTGAATAACATTTTATTGAAATAACATGATTATTGTATGATTGCAAAACAATAAAAAATATACTCATTAGTATATTTTTAATGAATACTTGCTATTTTTCAAGGATTTTTTCAAGAAACTATTATTGATTGTATTCAACCAAATATAGAGGTATATGTCAGGAATGGATAATACAACACAAATAAAGCCTTTTTCAGTGGGAAAGGTTTAATGAAATCATCAGTAAGTAAGAATTATTTAATATTATAAATTCGGAAAATAGTTACCTAATTTCAAGCATTGAAAATATAAAATAAATGAAAGTAAAATGTGTGCCCTATTATTGTGGATACTGTAATATTATGATTTTTATATCTTCATAATAATTCTTTAAAACCAAAACAGTATAAAATTTTTATATGAATATTTCCAGTACCTCGACTGTTTCTACATTTCTACACTAGGGGCAGGTAGTATGTTATGAATATGATCCTATATATAGGAAGTCGATGTCCCGCAGCATTAGGATCATTAATAGGCTAATTATGCTGATGAATTGAAAAAAAAACATATCAGAGCGTAGACGCTTTAATATGAAAAGTATATGAAAGGTATTTTAGAAAACACCTTTCCCATTGAAAACAACAAAATAAGGATTATTTTTGCAACGCGTTTTTATAGAAAGCCACAACAGTCAATACATAAATTACACTCACAGGTGTTGGTTTCGGTAGATCGGGCGTAGTCGCTTTCTGCTGTTTGTTCTCCTGCTGGTTGGTGTCCGGTGGCGTCCGACTTTCGTCCGGTAACGTCCGGTTGTCTTCGGGTACCGTCCGGTTGTCATTCTGTTTGTTGTCCGAATCGGAGTTTGTTTGTAGACAATTCAACGGGTCAGTAGTAGCCGGCTCTATGGATGGTTTTTGGTCATTTTTAACTGCAACAATAATAATTACATTTCAAAATAAATCAGTTTCAATAAATAGCTGAGGGAGTAATGATAATATCTGTGACTTGTGTAATAGACAAGATTGTAAGTAGAGCGGTATTTTGATTATTATTATCAACTTAAAACAATACGCTGCGTATCACGTGACACGTGATGAAATGTAATAAAACACGTAATGCTGTCGCCCTTACGCCCTAGAAATGTAAGCGATCCCGCTTAGTATATAGCTCAGTAATACTTTATCGCAAAACGAAACAACAAGTTGCTGCATATAATGTCAAGTGTTGCATATATGAAACTACCGGCCTAGCATGAGCGTTCTTATAGACAATAAAAAAGCTAGAAAGGCCGATAGTTTTATATATGCCATTTATCTATTTCTATTTCATTTAGCTATCTTCAAGTTTTAGTTAATGATAAATAAACTTTCTTTATCACTCGGGAATTGTTTTATAACAATTGTTAATTCAAAAACTCTGTTTCAAATTTTTAGAGAAGTCGTTACTGTGATATGGTTAGAAAGTGATTAGAATATGTACAATTTTGACGCAGACTGAGAGTTCGAATGTATAATTTATATTGTAATAGCCTGGCATCCATGATAATTGGTTAACTAAAATCAACTTTACTGTAATCGACTTATAACTAATTTTGTGTCTATAACAAATACATAATACGGCCTACCGCGATGCGTCAACATCTATGTATTCAAATTACTGAAATAAAACTGACACTTTTGAGTTTCTTTTAAAAGAAATTATGAGATTTGAACCGTAATATATAATACAAAGCATTTATTTACTATGATTAATCTTTTGATTCTCTATTTTTGTGAAAGGTCAGTACTGAGAGACTTACCAGTATGTTGCGGCGATTCGTCCTCTTCGTCAGATCCGAAAGGATCCGTGAGTTCCTTACGCGTCATTAGACGCTCCGGACGCGCGGCAACCTATAAAAAAGTAAACTGCAGAGCGATTCCGTATAAATCCGTACCCGAATTCAAATTTACATCGAAAGCAAATCCGCTAATTGTATATTAGTGTAAAAATTCAATTTTTTGAATGAAATTACAAAACAAGATTTCGAAATTGACATCACTTATGCCATGAAACGTTAATTCAAGGTTAGTTAGTATAAACTTTTAAAATAATGACGTAAGGTCGCTTTTTTTTCGTTGTTACCATACGATGAGAAATATGATGAGATATTTTAATATGATGAAATATGATGAATTTTGCGTTTACAATGCTATACAGAAAAATATCCTTAACGAAAAAGGGTTAGAGTCCCATCTCAGTGCCAGGAACAATGTGGATTTTTTAAGCATTTTTCATTGAAATATTTATGCTAAACAATGAAATTCTTTCGAATGAACAGCCTAAATTGTCGCGATAAAAAAATGTGCCTATCTTTTTCTATCTAAGCCCTATTACAATCTTTGTTTCGAAAACTGGATTAAGATGAACGAAGACACGATTAAAATATATGGTATGGAGTCTTATTTTATTGGCCATAAGGTGTAAAATACAACATACTAGGTATTTAACTAGAAGACCCAGTGGCTCGCACACATGTTTTAACGTGACGCCAAGTCTGAGATCCCGAGGTCGATACCGGTTCAGTTTAACGTTGAAAATTAACATTTCTAAATTGTCTAGTCTGGGTTTTGTGTAAAGTGCTTAATAGCAACTTAATTTCCGATATGAACTATGATTGTAATGTTATCTCATTTTTATATTTGTGTTTGTGATACGTGCGTGCGGGCGTGTGTGTGTATGTGTGTGTGTGTGTGTTTTACTGCATCCAATTGTCGTTGTGTTCTCACCTGTGTGGGAGTGAGAGGTGCGTACCAATGCGCGGTAGGTTTATGTCGTGGTGACACTTCACTCGGAGGGGTCACGGGTTCACGCGTTCTATAACACATATTGTAACATATTAATTCTAATAAATTCAATATACCATGTTACTAAATCTTGATGACAAATGATCGAGACGGTCAGTGTCATCTAACAGATAAGACCACACAGAAATTCAGTTTTTGTGATTTACTAGATTCACAACCACAACAATCTTAAAGCGACATCACGGCTAAGAATTTTCAACTAAGAATATTAATCTGAGCTTAAAGTTGTCATTAAACCCTGCTGCTACTGAAAAATGGCTGCAACTGGCTGAAAATATGTTATATGATGAAGAACACTAAAGGACAGTATTACAATTCAATTTATTTGGCAATCAATAGAAAACACGCTCATGAGCACTGAACACAATTCGATTAAAGTGTCGCCGTCTGACGTTTCAGATTCGATTCCCGGTCGGGTCAATGAAGACAATGAACTTTTCTATATTGTCTCGGGTCTGGGTGTAGTAGTACTTTCATTGTAACAAATACTCCAAAATACGAGGACTTAAGACACTACTCTTGAAAGCTGAACAATGTATGTGATGTTGTTTAATATTTATTAATTATTATTTAAGAAAATATTATTTATGGTCGAAGACTCCATATAAGAAAAGTTGGCAAACCCTAGTATAGAACAGGGGTGTCAAACTCAAATTTGCAGAGAACCATATAATATGTTTAGAATGTGTAGGGTCAGGTAAACATTAAAAATATATATATATATACAGAAATATTATAAAAAAATTGTTTATAAAAAATGCGCGAATTTCCGTAGAAGCTTTGAATGCAGTTTAAAATCTCTAAAAAATAAGAATATTTTAATGATCTATTATGTTAGCGGGCCATATTGACATAGTAAATTAAAATTGACGGGTCTAGAGGTAATGGATGGTTTACACGTAATTAAGTAGATAAGTAGTGAGTAGATTCTAATTTTAAACTTAATAAAGCTCATAGGCAGTAACCTAAATTTTTACTTAGTACTAATTCGTGTGTTTACATGTATTTGATCACTTAAAGTAAAAAAATCTACTTATCTACTCAATTACGTATAACCCAGTCATAATATTAAGTGATTATGTATGTGTAAAAATACAAATAAGTAATAAATACTTATGAGATTAAACGAATTTAAAATTAGAATCTACTTATGAATGAAAAATTCTTTATTGTACACCAATGGACAAAAAACAAACACATGGATACAATAAATGTGAATACACAATTGGCGGCCTTATTACTAAAAAGTAATTTCTTCCAACCTTGTGAACTGAAAATTATATCTAAATTAGATTAGACTAGAGTAGCTTATGGTGTCTCAAACTTCACCAAGATATCATATCTGTATTCTATAAAACATATATGTATATATAACATACATATAAGCCTTTATTTAGATGTTAGATAAGAATCAGACAGGATCCAGAGTAAGTGACAGATAATGCACTCTGACTAGTTCTTTAAAAACGTGTATGCTTTGAGCACGGCATCTACTTGTCTACTAAATTACGTGTAAACCAGCCATAAGTATAGTGTGCTCACTTGATATTAGCCGGTCGTATTAGAGTGCGTGATCGCCGCGCGCTGACCTCCCTGGAGAACAAGTCGCGGGACAATGCGCCGTCAGTGTCGTGTCTGCCCACCAGATACGACGACTCCGTCTCGTCGTTACCTACCCGATTATACAGGGTTAGTTGTAAAACACCAACAATATCACATCGATTCCCGGTCTGGTCGATGTAGAGATTTGACTTTTCTATATTGTCTCGGATCTGGGTGTTGCGATACCTTCGTTGTCTCAGATGCTTAGGGTTTTAGCTACTCATCTTGGAATCTGAGCAATGTATGATATTATCAAATATTTATTCTTTTTTATTTTTTCTATAAATCTATTTTGTATAAAACTCACCTAATTGTTCAACTTGCAATTCGTTATCTGTAAAGTACGCTCTCAGTTGAAAGAGATACGTCATAATCTGTAATGAAAAAAAAATACTTACAAACACACACAATAGCGTGTACGTGACACATAAATACGTGTTATCAAACATAGGCGACACATGTCACCCTAGATTTAAGATTATGTCATTAAATTTTGTAGGACGTCAGGACCGCAAATATTAGTCACTATATTCCAGAGGTTTATTTCAAGAGATTGAATCATATCAATAATTGTATAAAGACAAAAGTATTATGTGTGGATACTAACTGCGAGCTTATCGGGCACAGGCCTGAGTACATCGGCGGGGCAGAGCACCCGCGGCAGCCCTAGGGCCGCGCTAGCTTCCAGCGCCACCTTCAGATTTGTCTCCGCATCCTCCGGCTGCAAACCCGAGAAATCACTGCAACAACACGCGTACATTATCGTAATTATCCTAATTACAACGACTGATATGTAACTTTTACATTTTGAAAATTTTGTTTTTAATATAATAATACATTTCAATTTTAAAATATGCTTGAGCATTTAAGAGCGATATTTTTATCTCTACCAAATTTTTATCCAAAAGCAAGTTTTTGGAAATAAACAAATTAAAAGGAGTTTCACATACAAATAATGTTTGTTATAATAAGCTTCAGATATATCCAATATTAGTCCTACGTGTTTCGATAATTTGTTATATTTTACTTTCATCTGTACGCCGAGATCTTTTAAAAGTACCCAATGGATTTTATTGCGGTTTTCATCAGTATATAGAGTGATTCAAGAGAAAGGCTTATATGTATACTACAGGACCACGCGGGTGTACCCACTAACGAAAAGCTAGTATAAAAAAATATTTAAGATCAATGATAACACTATACGGGCAAAAGTAGCATGAAGGTACGTATTTAACACAGCTCGCAAACGTGGCATCGTATTATTTCTTTTTTTATGAATAAACCATAGACATTTACTTATATATATCATAAAACTTGAAAAATATTTTTTATCAAAAATATTGCTAAATAATTAAATAAAGCGTTGCTGTTTATGATATAGGCAATCAACTTCTATGAGAATACTGGCGTTTTAGAATTAACCCTGTATAATCATCATTTGTTATTAAAAGTACGTATACTGACATAAGATCTGGCCGGAATCGGTGTATGATGGCACAGAAGGCGAGTCCTGAACGTAATCCCTGGTCACAAGCACACCGAGCGCCGTATTCGCGGGTCACCACGCTACACCATCTCACCAACTCGCCCACCTACAATAACCACCAAACACTATCTATTTATTCGTAATACGTAATGATTCCTGGGTAAAAAAAAAAAACTATTTATTTCGTGAGCCAGCTAGAAGAAAAATATTGTAAACGTAATTTTTGCTTCAATTTAGGAAGAAATGGCTTAGATAACAAGCGTCAGTGTTCGCAAAAATACGATATAAATCGGATATATATCTCCCTATTTAGAGTAGGGATGCATCCGATACCAACATACGACATTAATTTGCGGACTGATTTTGAATATCGCGCGCAACAGGTCATCTATGTAAATTCTTAAACAAAACAAATACTACCTCATATAGCAAATTTCGCTGGCAACTTTCTTGCTTGTATTGTGTAATAATCTTATTTGTTATTTGGGAGTGATTGTGACGAGATTTTTTTAGTTTTTATACCTTTGGAGCTTACTTTGAATCATTACTGTCTGTATAGGATTGTATCGGCTGAAGTGTGTATCGATACATCCCTAATTTAGAGTTAGAGAGGATGACTATATCTTTATTATAATAGTGGAGAACAGTCTTTATAGTTCTATCGTAAGATCACAAAACACCCTTACTTTCAGATTTAGATACGTTTTGTGAACTCTGTGATGATGGCACTAGCAAACAACGTTTTATACCACAACACCCAGTCATCACGATACACAAACGTCCATTAAAAATTAATGACCACTTGACATATTCAATGGACGTTTGTGCAACTGGATGTAAGGTTCCCAGTTAATTTTGAAGTTCCCGCTATCAAAAATAGAAAAATGTACAATATAAAATGTTACCGGGGTATTATCTTTCTCGGCAGTGAATAGATTTAACGCCCTGTCACCCGGAGTGGGCGTTTTATCAGCATCACTCTCGTTGTAGTTGCTATCCAATCCGATGTTGTTCAGATTCGTTTTTAACTCTAAAGGCTTAAGGTTCCTTTTCGCTACCGTCCTCGGCTTGAATATGGCACCTATAATTATAAAAATATATGTTCTTTATCATAGATATAGCAATGTAAAGTAGATAATGTAAGTTTTAATATATACTATAAAAACTCTTGCCACTTGTACTGACAAAGGCAAGCGACTTTGTTTTTAAACTGTGTACAGTACAGGTATTAAGGATCAGATGTTTTCAAACCCCTATTAAACCCTGTAATTTTATGATTTTATGAGTTTTGACTGTCTATGAATAGATGGCGGTAATGTCACAATTTACAAATCGAGAGTTCTTGTTAAATTATATTGCTTCGCGGCAACAATTGTTTTAGCTTATTTACATTTGTTGTTAGGAGCCACATTCGGAGGTGGGGGGGGGGAATGGGTTTCTATAACTGATTTACCCATCAACCAATGCAAATTAGCTACTGTTGCTGTTAGTTAATGAAAATAATTAACTTTTATTAAAATACCATCTCTGTGTATACCAGTGGTTTTTATAACTGAATTTGTTAAATTTGATAATAAGAGGGCTAAAAGCTTTCATTTTGCGATAATCTGAATATGTTATTGTGTATGGGAAGAAGTTTCATGTTAGAATGGTGAGAAAAACTTTCATGAAAACCAAAAAGTTTGTTTCCTATTTAGTTCGCAGACGACTTGGGCGATGCTTCTTTGGCAGTACTATACTCAAGTACTCTAAATAATTATTTACACTAGTAAGGCAATGAAATAGTTTAAAGTACAAATGAATACCTTTCAAAGTGTCATCGAAATGCAGCTGTGCGGTGAGCTCCGATCGAGGTGGTAGTTCTTCACCCGGGACGGGGGTAGATGTTAAGGCGGAATTAGTGGAGGCGGGGAGGGTAGACATTGGTGCGGGTTGGGTGGGCGTGGGGGTAAGAGGGTCAGTGGGGGTGCGAGGGTCGAATTTGAGACTCTGCACGCTATTAGGAGTGCACGCCATGTCGCTACTCGTCAAACTCTGCGTCATCTCCTCCATTTGCTGACGCAGATCCAACATCTAAACGTACACACTTTTAAATAGACGTTGGTAATACGTTTGTAGACAGTCATCGAAAATAAATACATATTAAATGTGATCAATTTTGTATTCACAATGGTAGCTCAGTGGTTTAATAGACTAATGATGTGGCTCGGTGAGGTAGGTAGTGTATAAGCACCGCAGACCACGATCGTTATTGTTAAGCAATTTTCGCAATAATCGGTTACTTGATGGGTGACCAAAAATTATTATCTCTAGCTGCTTCGTGCTTTAGAAGGTACGTTAAGTCGTTGGTCCCAGCTGCGTTTGCAGTCGTCAATACCCTCTAGCGCATTAGGCCAACGTGGAGGGTCATGGCCTATTCTTCTTAACAATCCATAAGGGAGGCCTGAGCCCCTGCAGTGGGACGTAACAGGGCTAATAATGATAATGATTTAAGAACACTGGAACATCAGCTGTTTCCAGCAATTTAAATGCTTTTGTTCTCTGATAATATACATGAGGGCTGGGTAAAAAAATAAATTCTATTTTATTAAATAAAAATAATTAACGTTAGCTTCAATTTAACTAGAAATGGCTTAGAAAATAGCTATTAAAGTTGAGGGTCGACGGCTTATTACGTCACACCTATGTAGAAAATGTACAAAGGTGTGACGTCATGCGACATTTCATAACCTACCCGACGGACAGACAAACTAATATTAGTCTCAATACTGTTATCTCTCTTTACGATCTAACTGAAGTTAAAATTAATAATTAATAAGACCATAGCACCATATTAAAATTCAACTCACCTGTTTGGTGGAGTGATCGGAGAGTGTGATGTCATCCTCCTCGAGATCTTCCAACACGGCTATATCAGAGTTGTTATTCACTGACAACAATGAGGCCACTGATTGCATATCCTCATCACTGGAACAAAAGTGAAAATTATAGATAGGTCAAAACATTTGTGCGGGCGCCGCTATATTTTCGTAAGCTTATAATGACACAGCTTTCATTTGTGTGCCAGAGATGCTTCAGTCATCATCCAAGTAACACGTGTTTTTGTCGCTTTTTGGATCGCTTTGTCCGTCTGACGAGACCCTTTTTCTCACGAACGTGTGGAGGTATCAAGCTTAAATTTATATCAAATACTCAGGTCTACTGTCCCATGGCGCTGTGTAAGCTGTGAAAATCAAACTTCTAAGTCAACGCCATCAAAAGATACATATGTTTTCAATACAGTTGCTCATAAAGCGCTATTTTTTTAATCCATTGTAAACACCGAAAGTGATTCCATTGTCTTTAAACACGTGTTAAATAAAAATGTACTGAAATCCTTTACTGCACACGTGCTTAAAAGTATATTTTTAATTTTTTTTTTTGGCCGAGCACCAAAGAAATTTAAAAAAAAATGATGAAAATATGTCAAACTTTAGAGGCAAAAGTATCTCAAGGAGCCTAGAACGAATATTTCCAAATAAAAATGTATGACACGAAAACATGTTCAAATATCACGTTTAATTTTAACAAATAATTTTTACCTTTACTATGTAGTAACTTAGTTTTATTAACCTATATATTTGTTTTATTTCCTCGCAAAAAGCATTGAAAAATTCGTGCCAATGAAAACCCTCGTGACAATTTGGCCCTTATTCGTAAAACCTTACTTTCCGCACTCGTATCTTAAATAACTATTATGACACAAAATTGTGCTGATTTTCAAAACTCACAAGGGAAACAAAAGCACAATTTTTATTATTATTTTTTAATTTACAGAGTACATTCATGTCTTGTTCTTCACGGAGATTTTTTTTTGACATGGAATCGGATTTAGGTTTGAATCGGACGCATAGCCTCTATTCTACAACAGCATAAGTACTCACGTTGCCGGTCCTTCACGCAGTAACACAGAGTGGAGTGTCAAATGTAACGATGCAGCCGCAACCTGCACATAATTGTTCACGTTAACATATAAAACATGTACCAGACGTTCGTTTTGAATTAGCCGCTTCCACCCCTCCCACTTCACCGCCCCGCACCACAGGTTTGCTAGCGGTACTCAAATGGTTTGCCATCTGAGTACCGCTAGCAAAGCCATTGCGTGCATTTGTCTATGCAGAGGCCAAATTGTTTAATTTTAAAATCGATCGCAATTGTTTTCAATTTGACATTTGAAAATTAATAATGAACTATTTGACATGTACTAGCAATTACTATCGTGACTTTTTTTTAAGATATTTAATGAACGTTGTTACTAATTTTAGGTTTGTCCACGGCAAACTTTACACGTAAATATTACTGTAAGTTATTAAGTTTTTTTATGAAATAATATCCATAATCCGATAATACCGTTTTACAATAATAGTATCGATCTTACTAAATTATAAAGGCAAAAGTTTGTTACTTCTTCACGTAAGAACTACTGAACAGATTTTGATGAAAATTGATATACGACTCATTCTAAGACTGACACTAAAGAGCTCCCTGGCACTAAAGAGTGTAAAAAGATGTCATATAATAAATCTTTCTGTGTTATCACCAGTGGTCGGAATTAGGTAGAGTTATTCATGACTGATTTCATACAGCGAAAGAATAAAGTGGATATGCCTCAAATTGTAAAGAACAATGGCCATCTGCCTAACATGCTTGGACTAGTGAAATCGAATAAAACGTAACTTGATGAAACATATGTTATTTTGTTTGCCTATGCAACTAGAACAAAGAAAGACATTAAATATATTTTTAAAAGCTGGGAGTATCGAGTAATTGTGTAATATGTTTTTGAGGTTATGTCGTATTATTTAAACTGTATCATTTTGAGTTAGAGGTTTACAGTTGAAATATGTAAAGCACACGTCAGATAATGCCTAATCGTAGTCCTAGAAGTGCATACTTTCACTTAATACTTCAAACTTGCTCCATATCTGATATATTATTTTTATTGACTATAAGAAATAAAATCATTTTTTGTGAACCAATGAACATCAAAAGATAATAGATTTTTTAAGATTGCTCTCAATAACTCTACTTTTCTATCTTACACTATAACTTATATAAAGTAGTAGTGAAAATACCAATTTCAAAAGGATATAATAAAACAACATGTTGATTTTTCTTTTCTTTATTACAACTCTAATGAATACCTCATCACAGAATGCTGCAGGAGCAGCTACATTCTGTTCGTGTCTGGCACATCCAAGATACCAAACTATGGTCATTATATGAGCACAGCATTCCAGTGTACATCGACCAATAAGACAATTACAGCAGTGTTCTCTTATGCGATCTAACCCGGATGTGTCATTATTTTTTTAAATGTACACATAATATTGTTTCCTCCCAATGTCTCGACTTAATTCTACCCCTTATAATTAGGACTTTATTTATATTTAAGTCTAATTCTAATAAATCCAGAGAATCCGGTATTTCTCTCCAGACCTCAATTCTATACTGCCCATGGAACCTAGTATGCTCCCAATAATACAGAAGATAATACAAAATCACCGCCAAAGTTACAAATCGGTCTGCGTAGAAACACGTCTACACATACTTGTCTAAAAAAAGGATGGTCGCAATCGATTGAATACTGTAATATCGATTCTTTTGAATAATCATTTGTTTTTAATTTCATTATTAATAAAATATTTTCCTCTAAGTAACATCTAATTATATTAGTAATCTAATCTAAGTTTTATAATTTTCACGGATTTATATGGTTAGTAATTAATATAAGATTTGTATCAAATTCGATTAGTCAGACATGAAATCGATCTTGTTCTTTGAAAAGAGAGGGACTTCTCTAGGAATGACATTATTAATAAGATGCGTTCAAAAATAACATAATTTAAACTGCGTTCTAAAAAAATAAAGACATATTTTAGAGAGGATTATCTTTCTTTTCCCAGCTTTTAAAAATAAATTGTTGGTATATAATAATTACATTTAACTTATGCTACATTTTGGTGATAGTTCCATCTTGGTACAAGAACTTTGTTTTTCGTAGTCCATTTTGACCATTGTTCTTTGTATTGTAAAAAATGTAAACTAATAAAAATTTTATGTTAATTATCTTTGTTTTATTTGTCTATCTCTGGCGTTGTTATTATTATTTAGTTGTAACATTGTTGGCCACACGGGATTGTCCATTAGAAATCCTGGGAAGGTCCACATTAATATCAACATTTCGATGCAAGTACATAAATAACTCTACCTAATTCCGACCTCTGGTTATCACTCAGAATATTAAGTTTTTTAATTTATATTAGGAGATCTACAATTTATGCCTGATACATGTACCCTATGATATACCTTGGCAGTGCAGGGGTCTAGCTTGAGTCGCAGAGGTCTTTGCGCGGGTTCGAGACTAGCGTACTTGCGCATGTTCACATTGCAAGACGCCACGCGTCTACGCTTACCCGTCGCCGACACCTGGTTCACATACATAAATGAATTAAAGTCTTAACGCCTTTAGTACACCGACGCAATCGCATACGAAAGCGAAACAAACAAACATTGCCAAAAATCTTTTATCTTGTCAGTTTTATGGCAATGTTTCGCATGTGCTTTGTCTCGCTCTATTATTAGCTCGACGAAATAGCTAGTCAGTTAGTCACTACGGTTAAGCAGGCAACTGCGAAAAACATTGTTACAACACGCACATGTTTCGCATTCGTTTCACAGGGTTTTGCTTTTCAAGCGAATGCGTCGGTGTACTAACGGCTTAACAGGATGTATTACTGCAATTTTCTGTCACCAGACTACCTAGCAGCCTAACGACCCTAGCACATTTAGTATACATTTTTTATAAACTTCTTTCACAGAGTAGTAAACAAAGAGTAAACTAATAGTGAACATAGTAGGAATTTAATATTTTGTGCTAATGTTGCCATCTAAGCCGAGCTTTGCGTAATATTAGTCCCTATTAGCTACTAACTTTCACAGTTCATGAGTTACAGCCTAGTGACAGACAGACAGCAAAATTTTACTAATAGGGTTCCCGTTTTACCCTTTAGGTAAAGGAGCCTTAAAAATAAACTAAAAGAAACCTAGTCCTCGAAACTAGAGGAACGGGTCGAGAATGAGATATGTCCATAAAATATCACACTCTCGGTCTTGCTTTCGGTCGCTCGATTGCTTATAACTGTCATTTTGCTGTGATTACATTTTGCTCGCTCGATAAGTAGCTCGGTGGCATAGTGGATAAGCGCCGCGGCCCGCGATCGTTGTCGTTAAACAACTTTCGCAAGGGTCGGTCACGGGATGGGTGACCAAAAAATTATTATCTCGAGCTACTCCGTGCTTCGAAAGGCACGTTAAGCCGTTGGTCCCGGCTGCATTTGCAGTCGTTAATACCCTCCAATCCGCATTGGGCCAGCGTGGAGGGTCATGGCTCATCCTCCTTAACCATCCATAAGGAAGGCCTGAGCCCCTGCAGTGGGGACGTAAAAGGGCTGGTGATGACATTATTAGAAAGAGATGAATAGGGTACCGCCATCTTCTCTCTTTCCAAATGAGAGATGTTTCCGCGTAGAGGCAGTCGTATGCTTACAGGAAAACTTCCAGGAAGGTGGAGTGATGATTTGATGAAGAAAATTGGATGAGGGTAAAAAGCAGTGTATTAGGGGAGACCTATCCAGCAATGGACTGCTGTAGACTGATGATGACATATTTGTCAATACAGATGTTACGTGACGCATCTCCGTCAAATATACACTGACCCTATTAGGTACTTTTGTGAAAAATTAAATTATATTTGTCTTTCCCGACATAGCATAGCATCAGATTATTTTTAAATGACGTCATTTGCTACCATATTCCATGACGTTATTTGCACAATTAGTGATTTAGAGAACGATAATATATTTTTAAAGATTGATAACGATAACATTAATCACCTTGTTTATAATTCATGCTGTTATTGATATTTTACATATGACAATTACTCACATCTTCTAGCACAAACGTCCAATCCTTATCTTCTAGTTCATTAGTGCGAGAATCCTTAAATAGAGTCACCGCCACAGTGTGGTTTTCTGGCACGGGAAATATTACAGAACCCCTGAAATAAAATAAACAAAGTTAGATACCAGAAAATATATTTTTCCACAAGCAACTCTATTCGTTACGCATTAAAGTTAAAAATCAAATGAACGTTTTAGATAGATTAATGACATGCTGTTGACTGTAAAAAAAATTAACATTCATATTATTATTTGCAGGTCCCGTGTCTACCACGTAATTTACTAGATATGAATTTCAGGATTGATCATACATACCGTAACCGTAATAATAGGGGTAAAAGTATGAAATTGCCTATTTGTACTGAAAATCATAATTGTTCGTTTTTTTTAATTTTTAACAAATTAATTTAATCAAAATAGTTACCATTATTATCTATACATTGCTGCCATCTAATAGGAAGGTCATTTATGCCTTTGCGATAGAACTCTGAGGATCTAGACTGCACAAACTGTGTGAAAGCTTTTGTACTGCCGCCTGGGAAGAAAACGTCTTGTCACGCAGATAATTGTCCAAATCACGAAAAAAATGGTAGTCTGTTGGAGCAAGGTCTAGCGAATACATAGGATGATGATTGGTTTCTAACTGCAGTTCCTGAAGGGTCAAAACGGGTCCTCGTGCTGTATGAGGTCTCGCGTTTTCATGGATTAATAATGCAATAATGGTGAAGATCGAAACATGAGTCGGGGCTGTTTTACTGCTAGTTTTGCCAACATTGTTCGGAGTTCGGCACAATAGACATCTACCGTTATTGCTTGATCAGATATGAGAAAACTATAGTGAATAACACCATGCTGAGACCACCAAACAGTTACCATTACCTTTTTATAGGTAAGTTTTGCTTTAGGACACTGTTGTGTCGTTTGACCTGGGGTCAGCTATTGTGTTTTTTCTTTTACGGTTATCATAAAGAATCCACTTTTGATCACATGTCACAATTCGATTGATTCGATTGCTGCCGCGTTACTTCCGCATCAGAACTCGTATTCAAAAATCATTCGAATTTTGAATAGCAAAAACAATTGAAAGGCGATATTCAAATGTTTCACATTTTTAAAAGAAGAACATCATAGAAACCATGTCAAAAAAGTTTCTTTCGAATACCTCAAACCATGAAGATTCTATGTCAATTCAAGGAACCAATTACAATAAAACGGCAATTTCATACTTTAACCCCTAATATTAGTTATAAACTAATATCCAAAATCCCAGAACCCCCAAACGTTACCTACTTATTCGTTCAGAAACAAAATGCACAGATATAGTGTTAGTATATGCTATGGGTGTATGCCTATCTGCTAGCTTAGATCGACTGCCAAATTCCGGGTACCTTTAGCACCAAACGCATAAAAATGTTACTAGCTTTTCTTAAAATCTCCAAACTAGCAGGTTTTGATACACTCAGAGCATATACCAATACTACATTATTCTATACAATTTGTTTCTGAGAAAATAAGTAATACCTGGGCGGCCAAGGTATCTTAGTCTATAATAAATTGATGAGTTACTTGAGAGGGTCTTTGAGCGAGGGCTCCCAGTCTTTAGGCTCGGTCAAAACACGCCGTGACCGACGAGTCCACACCACGCTCAACTTGTTAGGTTTCCTGTAAACATAAATAAATAAAACAGTTATTAATACTCACGTCAAATATCCGTTTCAGGGTTGGCAGAAGATCAAAGGCGGGGCAACATGAGATGGATAAAATTATACATAGGTATAAATATCATTCCCATAGCCATATTGCAATGACCACAAAGTCATTTATCGGGTCTTAGATGTTATAAACAAATAGTGAAAGAACACCAGCCAATAATGTTAACAAGCTTTTTGCGGAACAATCTTAACAATTCATTAGTATCCTAATATTCTGTGATAACACAAACATACAATAATTCGATTGAATGTTTATCTGTTATTTATATTGTGTTGTCTAAAATTTTTTTTGTATTGGTGTATATCATGTAGGTAAATCCAAGTAGAAAGAAGTTGGTAGTTCAATAATTCAAATTTGGTACAATTTATTTACATCCTGTTATGATCACCTAAGTGAAGACAGAATTGTCCTTATCCTTGGCCCTGGAAGAGAGTTCCACGCGTGCCGCCATGTGTGCTTAGAAAGAAGTTTGCGGGCAAGTCTGACTCGTGCACGAAGGGTTCCGTACCATTATCCATTAAAAAAGGAAAAAAAATCTTCTATGGAGTTGTTCACAATTTTCGAGTTTTATACAATCGGGCGACTATTACTCGTAAAGTCGTAGAGCCAACTAAAGTGTTATAGTTTTCCTTTTAAATTCATTATATATAGGTACTAAGGCTGTAGCGTTTGAATTTTTACCAACGACCGTTTAGTTTCTAGAGGAGTGAAGGGTGGAGGGCACACGAGACTAATAAAAATAAAATCTTTAAAAAACGGTTTACTAAATCGAGAAACGGTCTTCCCACATTCCCAATGTTTTTGAAAGACCTGTCCAACGATGCTATGACCCTAAAAAATTGTTTTTTCCAAATTTTACTTTACCACCTTGTCGGCGTAACTGATGTGTATACTCATGCCAAATAACAACTTTCTAGTACCAATTAAAAAATAGTTTTTGAGTTCAACAGCGGGCGGACGGACGGACAGCTGGACATGGCGAAACTGTAAGGGTTCGTTTACTATACAGAATCCTAAAAAAGGAGCCTGTTAATAAGAGTCGTTTACCATTTGGGCGTGGTCTCTAGATCTATGCGGTGGTACGAAGCTGTGTATTCGAATTTAGCAGCGCGCTTGTTCACGCGCTGCAATCGTTTCCACACCGACGCCATCGCGCCGCGACGTCAACACTGAAACAAGGACACCATCATCATCTTGTTAAAGGAGCATACAAATCGAATCACAAACACATTTTTCTTTTAATTTAATGTAAAAAAAAATATTGATAATTTTACGAGCCATCTTTGTAATCAAGAACAGTCACGAAATGCGCTTTTGAAGTTTTATTTTTAATATATTTTGCATTCACAATCACCCTGTTATGAGATAACACAAATAAGGTTAAAGATTAAAACACTTAAATATATTTTCTGGAGGTGCTATCATTATGACCGTATTAATTATAAATATATATATTATTTACCAAGGGATAATTAACAGCTATTAATAAAATTTATCAAAACAACTCACGACTATAGAGGCCGCATGTGATTAACCGTGGTACCGCATTATCTGCTCTCGGCTCTGTAACAAATATAGCAAATTAATCATAATAAATACACGCATATCAGTAACATGACACTTATCGCAATTATTAATGTTGATGCTCGCTTCTGAACAGTTAGTCCTGGGATTACATACTGTCGACCTGATGTCCAATATTATTGGTGCATTGTATTCTTCTCTATTCCATGGTGGGCGACAGATATATGTATTATTTTGTGATCTGGTAACATGAAATGTGTCATAAAGGTTTGTAGTGGAAGCACTAATGACTTACCATACGCTAACATTAGCAAGAATGTCCTACTAGTGGCATGGATTGTTGGTTTATTGTACTGCGCCGGCTCAATAAAACTTATTGCTAGGAAAAATACTGGAAGGGAGCCCATATATTATTACAAAAAAAATTAAGACTAATGTAGGTATACCTATCAAAGTGTAATTTTGCCAATGTCTAAAGAAACTTCTTTGGTACTGCTAGTCTGCTGAGGTCTTTTAAACTACACAAATGCATTTCATATAATACAGGACGCAGGCGAAGCCATTGCCCGGAAACTAGTACATAATAAACGTATGACTCCTAAAAAGATTCGCTAAGAACAACTGCCAAATATATTTTAAGTTGCTATTCGAGAAATCCTTTAGAAGACTACGCCCCCGCTATATTAGTGACAACATAAAATTAGGACAAGTGCGTCATCAGATTGTTGTTTTCGTCTTTATATATTATAAAACAAAGTCCCGTCTGTTTGTTTGAACGCAATTCTCTTAAAAACTACTGAACGACACCCTTGTGGTTTTGGCGTTGAATTCATTATGATAAGCAGAAGAATAACGGTGATTGTTAAAGATCTCGGAAAATTATTTCGTTTCTTCGAGGTCCCACATTATACGAACAGACATTTTTTATGTCATAACGGTATCTAGCTGAGAGATTGGGGGCCACTCTTGACCGCTAGGCACATCCTTATTGTTGACACGTTCTTAAAACGGGGAATTCACTAAACTGGTATGTCTGACTAGTGTAAGACCGTCGCAGTCATTACAAAGACCTATAATAACGAGGTATGGCAGACAGCTCCCCGCTTAATACTCCGTACGTTCTACCTTACAGAGACATTTTCATAAAATCTCGCAACCGTTATCTGCATTCGACCTTATGATTATTATGGATACATCTGTAAAATTCACAAGAGAAAATTAAATGGATACATTCAATGCCAAGTCTTTATATAATCCATATTATAAATACTCCAAAAAAAAAAAATTGGAATGTTTCACATTTGCATTCTAATGATTGCCATAAATCTACATTATAACTGGTGAAAGTATTCATAAACGAAAGGAAATACAGTTGGCAAATAAGAATAATAAAATTTATAGGTAGTTACGTTTTCTAATAAAATACAATACAGACTTCTCTGATGACCTAGCGTTAAAGGGGTCAAGGTTGGTAAACACAAACCTTGGGATTGAATAATTTATCTGTGTTATAAATAGAACTTAAGATAATAGAACAGACCTTAGACAAAATAAATAATTTTATAGATAATATAATAACAACATATTATATTTTTTTATAGTGACAACTAAAATTATAGGTAAGGGAGTGTTTAGCTTCATGAAGAGTTTGAATAAAGTTACGCATGTTTTGGGTCAACTAGACTTCAGCCGATAACTTTATCTGTGTGATTTTATTCGTATAGAAAAGAAGTCCAACCCCTGGCCCAATTTCCAGGGATTCGGCATCGGCAAGATACCTTTATAACTTCGTTCGCCATGGCCTCTTTCTGTCAACGACTTAGCTATAGGTAATCTTTAGATATAAGTGTAGGCTGACGAAAGGGGGGCTGAAGGACATGAATATGGGGGCGTTCAGACGGCTCTGTTCAACATAGATTGGAAGGAGACTAGGACTGCGTACTTAGACCGGGTATAACACTCTCATAAACAACTCCATATATTTTAATATTATAAATGTCAAAGTTTCTTTGTTTGGATGTTTGTCAGTTAATTACGCCGAAACGACTGACCGACAGTGCTCTTTGCAAGGCGTGTATGTCAACAGGGTAAACCATCAAGCAATTTTGGAATGCAAGAGTCTAGCATCACACCGGTGACACATAATTGTCCATTCATCCATCCCAAAAGTTTCTGCGCTTATGGGAGAAATTGGTTTAGCTGGAATAAGGCGTCGATGTGCGTAAAAAAGAGTTCCCATGTCTAACCTAACCTAACCTTATTTAAGACCTAATGGAAGTCAGAGACAGAAGAGAAAACGAGACGAAATAAACGTGCCGGCCAATAAGATAAACAGGGACCGATGATAGCGTATTGTATTACTCACAAGTCTGTAATAGCGGAGGTCTTTGGTAGCCGCCAATGCCTTGCACGGTACAACGTGCTGTGTTCTAGGGGGGGAGATATAGTCGCCGAATACATTCGAGGCGGCAGGGAGGGAGAGTTCGTAAGGCATTTATCCTACGTTAGAATACGTGGGGCTATATGTGCAATGTAGCAATGATATATTTTTTTCATATTTGTTCCCTGACATGAAATCTCATTGCTAACAAAATATTTAGGGTGTGTGAATGCTCATCAATCGCGAAAAAATTTAAGAATAAAAATAAATATAGGGGGCTGATTTGCTATGAACAATATACAAAGTCACACAGAGGTAATTCTATAAATAATTCAGTTTCCTTATTTTCGCTAGTAATATCACCAATCAACAAACGTGGGGGCAGCTGTAACATACATAATATGTATACATACTTCCATAAATAATAACGTAAATTCAACTCTGTTTTCCAAAGAATAAAGTGGTAAATACATTACTAATCTGTATCACCCACACAGAAGAATGCACCCAAATCAAAGTGAATGAAATCATCATTGCATGCTGATTGCTCACCCACTTAGCAATATTTCATATTATATTGTCACACATTTGAAAAAGTATAACCAGAGCGGACAAAATAGGATATACATCAAAATTCATTACTTTTCACTAAGAAAATAAAAACACTGCTTGCACATCAGAATCATTACTTGTGATACCACATACCGCAGAATAAAGCAATGTCTAGTGTTATGATATTCGTTATGCAGTGCTTTGCGCTAGGCGTTTGTGTATATAGAGGTCATAAGTATGTCAAGGAATAAAAGAAATTTTTTTTTATTGGTAATTAAACTAATCTGCTTAAGCGATTCGCAATATTGGGCGTTTTCTAGATAAGCTACGCAATGTTCTGGGTAAGTGAAAATGGGTGCAAGACTTCAATCTAAAGTGACTTATTAAAAAAAAGATATTTATTGTTGTCCATATTATTTCCATTTTTTGTCAAATAAAGAGTATTTATTACTATTCTTGATAGTGTTGATCATGACCATTAATCATTGTTATAGAAATTCAAAACAGATAGAAAATGATGTGGGTGCATTGATGTAATTAGTCCATTGTCTAATGCATTTATGTGGGTGTAGTGGAGATTCCTCTATAATTGAACATTGTTACAGATATTACTCAAGAGAAGTTTGCAAATAAACTTCCAACTTTCATATTGAGATGAAATATTGTAGAAAAATAAAGAATAATAAAAACAGCTGATCCATTTCCCTAACATTTTCAAAGCTTTAAGGACAAATAAAAATTACTTGATCTATAATTTTGTAATCACAGTAGAATAACTTATTAGAAGAAACACAAATTTGCATATCCTGTTGTGAACCAAATAATTTACATAGAAAGGCAATAATTACAAAACACATTTATACACAACTTTCATATCTGTCCGAGGTTAATACAAGATTAGAACTTGAGAATATTGATTTAATTGATAGAATGTAAGAAAATAACAAACCAAATGACTATTTTAATTTTCTATAATATAGACTTTATACACATATCATAGTTCTTTATATAAAATGTACACTAGACTGATGTGCCATGTAAAGAAAAAAAAACAGTCCACTCTTGTTAATTTAAATAACTAAGTGCCAAAATTGGTTAAATAAATAATATAAACGCTTTATCTGAAAAGCTTGAACATATTATTTTAAAGTTACATATTAAGCTATTATTGATAAATAATTAGATTAAGATTCAGTATAGGCATACCATTGAAATCATGTTATAATCTTTGAAATTTGTAATTTTCATTGACAGGTTGCTTCCAGAATACTATATTACATACATTATTATTCTGTATATTGCAGCCTTTGTCATACAATGAGCAAAGTTGTGCAAAAATAAATAAATATACAACATTTTTACACTACCATTTTAAATTTAATATCAACAGTCAAATCTTAAAATTGATTCATCTTGAGATTGACAGAAACCTGGCCTTTGCAGAAACTTTGAAGACTGTATTTATTGTTTATTACACTCCATAAAAGAAAAAGTATCAATTGAATGTAAAGTTGATAACCATGAATGAACTATGTAATTACCCTAAATTATCAGTAACATAGACAGATATCATGTTAAATACTTCCTGTTAAAAAAATATTTCAGAGTTCCTTTAAGCGAATATTAAAAAAGATATGAAGTGAATTCTATAGTATGCTTTTAATTACTGAACAAGGAAGAATATATTGAAGACTAAGCTGTTTAGATAACTAGAATCCAAATAAAAAGAAGTAAAATAAGGTTTATCAGTAACTATTGACAATATCAAATCTGGTTAATATTAATATGAATTTCTTATTAGACTATAAAAAAGTTAACTATTCAAAAATATATATTTGTACCAGTAAACAAAAACAGTCTTACAGAGTTTCTAATTATATATATTAAAAAAACTGGTCAAAAATTTGAAAAACCATATAAACAAAAAAGTTGTAGAGTCAAAAAAGAATCTAATATAGCCCCATAGTTCTCCATGAGCCACATAAATTCTTTTATGTCCGTTTCATGGCTTACAGTCAAATAAACAAATGCCTAATGTAAACATCAGGCTGAACAAACAAACAGACTCAATAAGTGCAGCGCGACGTCTAAAAATAACTCAAACCAATCAAAAGAAACCCTACATAGACACTTAAGTTCTTAACATCACATCATTTAAATGGATGTTCAAAAAGTAAACTGTGATATCATCATTTCCTGGTCATACACCCTGCTGTATTAATTAACATCAAGCAAATACACTCTAGCCTTGGTATAATAAGCTCTATCATAAAAAATTCGATGGGCTTACAAGCAAATCGTCTGCGATCCTATGTATCCAAAAAAAGAAAGTCACTTGAACGCACTGCACTTGTAATTTATCACTAATAGTAAGACAGTTAATTATACTCACTGATTCTCGATAGATAAGTATTTTTGTGTAATTATTATGTAAAATACATTCACTCCGGGCAATTTTTTTCAGAAACTATTTTTTTTTTACTCTTTTTGACATTTTCTTTTTTTTTGCCACAGATCAAGTATTAATTAAACATAAAACACCATCTTTTGAAATCAGAGTAGATGTCACTACATATTTTTAAATATTTCTATAAAGAAGCGCATTTTAGTGTCATATTTTGCTCATGTGTTCTTTTGTTTCGCATATTAGAATGAGGCCACGTTATATTATGTAAAATGATCACAGACCACTCGCAGGCAGAACCTTTAGAAGTCACCTTTGACTTGACATTGACTGACTGACACTGACAGCACAAATCAATGAAATGTCAAATGAAATAAAAAGTCGTCTCTCTAAAATTTTAAATCTTTCTTTCATATAGAATAATTTAAGATTTATAATGATTTACAAGTTAATTCTTTAATATTTATCAAACAAAATTCTACGGAATTTCATTTGTTTAAGCTTGATTATATTGTTCTTATAAACCGGTAGAGGTTATGCTATAGAATTTAATAAGATTTCTTCGTTTGGTTATGTTTATGCAATAATATTTCGCTTGGAAATCGTAAGGAACAATATTATTAACGATGTCAAGAATATTACATAACCGTATGAGGTGAGCTAGGATTATATACAAATTTTTGATGTCATATTTTATTTGCTTAAAATATTTGTTTATTTGATTAGCCATTATTCCAATAAGTAGTGTTTCTAAATGCTTGTATAAATTGAAACTATTGAGTTATCTTTATAGATAGCTTCTCTTACTATTGTCCCTATCTATAAAAAATATAAAGAAGGTAGTTAGGTTTTCAAAATCTAGTAAAGATTAAAAAAATATCTATCTAACTAATGGAATCTCTTCAAAAACTGAATGTGTACAAACTATGTCAAACATGGTTTCTAAATTTACTTTTGAAATGTTTTCTGTTCATATCAGATCATCTCTGAGAAAGTCAACAGCATGGTCATGTGTGGACAAGCGTGCAGTAGCATTCTCAGTTTGGACCGGACGAAGTATGCTATTAAGGAAACCTATAGATACAAGTTCTTTACAAAAGCGACGGTATGGAATGCTGGTTGCAAGGGCTGTCAGGGGAGTGTTGAAAATTAGGTATCTGCTTCTTGGAGGAGCAGTTGGTGGAGGAATGACTTTGAATAAGGTATATTCTGAAATACTATTTTGTGCACTAAAATATTTGTACATGATTAATGTGCTCTACTTAGGACTTAAGATTGTAACCCTTAAAGAAGCCAACGATGCTAATAAACTTTTAAAATATTCCCTATACCTATGTTGTCTTTTTTTTATTAACATAATAAAAGCATTAGAATTTAACATTCAATGCTGCCAATGTTTGTGTAATGAATGATATTATACCTATTACAATACCATAAATTGAAAACATTATAAATGTATATATACATATATTAAAAAAAAATATGCTACAATACCACAATCTTATTGGTGCTTCAAAATATTATGACCTTGATATGTAACCAAATGTAGAAACTACTAAACCAAACACTTAAAAACCCCACAAATACAATCTTTTAAAGATATTATAAATATATTCAAGATGAAGTGTCCATTACAAATACTTAGTTCAACAGCTCATCAGGTTACAGAAAATTATCAAATTAGTACAATTGATTAACATTAATGCATTGAGGGTTAAATTCAATATTATGTTATGTGTTTGTGCTAACCTGACATGCTGTTGTGTGTAAATATTAATTGTCACAGACTAATTATAATTTGTCTGTAAGAAATTCAAATGAATGATTCTTACTTATCATATAGATATTATCAGTACTAATATTATAAATATGAAAAATTTCTAACTACAACAAAGCACTAGGAGTTCAATACTATAGTTTTGATCTGTCTGTTAATGTTTGCTCTATTTTTTTAATGAAATTTTACACAATGAAGAAATACCTAAACAATAGACCAATCAACAATTGTTCTCATACATAAAAAGTGGATGAAGATAATATAGACAATTATAGACCTTTAAGTTAAATATCTAACATGAAAAAAGTTTTTGAAGACACTTCTTGGAAGATTAACAATGGTTCTAGACAAACAACAACCCAAAGAACAAGCTGGTTTTCGTAGTGACTACTCCACCATATACCATATACATGTAGTGAAACAATTTATGGAGAAATATAATAAAAATGGAAAATCATACTACATTGCTTTTGTCAATTTGAGCAAAGCCTTTGATTCCCTGCTACATGACTTTATCTATAAAACATTATATAAACAGGACATTAACAACAAATACATAAGAGTTGTATACCAGATATACCATCAAAGTACAACCAAAGTGCAACTAGAAAGGATTGGTGCGGACATCAAAATTCAAAAAGACATAAACCAGGGTGGTCTTCTGTCCCCAAAACTTTTCTCTGCCGTTCTAGAGGAATTATTTAGAAACCGCGACAGGAATGAGATGGAAATAAACATAAATGGTAGCAAACTGCATTATCTATAAAGTATGTTGATACAACTGAAAACAGAAAGTGCAAAGCTGGACTGACCATAAACCTGAATAAGACCAAGGCAACGGACAAATAACTTAAAAGCTGATGGTGGGAATGCAAGAAGTTGAATATGTGGAGGAATACATTTATCTGGAACAAGTAATAACACCAAACTTGCAAATGCAGAAGGAAATACAGAGAAGAGTTTGCAATGCATGGTCAAAATACTGATCTCTAAAAAGAGGTATGAAATGTTATTCGATTTCTGTATCCCTAAAAAGAAAAGATTTTGATACCTGTATACTTTCAGTGCTAAACTATGGATGTCAAACATGTTCATATTCAAATTACACAGTGTCAAAACCAAAAGTATGTCAACAAGGTATTAGATGAAGTATCCTAGGCGTTAATGTTAGAGATAGGCTACGTCTGCAGGATATAAGGAAGAGGACAGGTGTGGTAGATTTAATCCATAAAGTGAAGACCTTAAAATGGACGTGTACAGGACATATGATGAGAGCAACAAAATCAAAATGGGCAAAAGATATCACAGTATGGTACCCCCGTGACAGACAACGAAAAAGAGGTAGACACATAAAGAGATGGAAAGATGACCTACCGAAGGGATGGAGAAGAGCAGCCAGAGACAGAGACGAGTGGGATAAACTGGAGGAAGCCTTTGTCAAAGGCCAACCTGGCGGAACAGGTGCCGATGTCGACGAAAAAACTAAATAACTACAATATAATTTATAAAGTCAGAGAATAAAGGCTAATTTTATTTTATTTATTTAAATTTTCTAACTTAATGAAATCTTCAAAAATACTGATCTGATCATGAAAATTCGTCCACCTATGGGTAGTTGCATAACATGTGGGTGACCAATGCTATTTCTGGAAATGTAGTCACAGAGAAACAGCTACTTTACTATATATTTAATTTTTAAAATGCACTGTCTAAATGTAATATTTTTTTGTTTATAGAAATATACAGAGTGGAAAGATGGTCTTCCCGACATGGGTTGGCTAAATGACTTACTACCAGACAATGAAAAATGGGACCGTTTCACAACCACACTCATAACAGCGAAGGATAAAATCGGAGACCAATTGCAGATTGGTGAGTAAACAAAGTTTGCAGCAAACATTGCTAGTGATAGCATTTTGTATATTGTCGCAAGTATAATCTATTTGAGACGGAAATTTAGCTCTTATGACCATTTGTAGTAGATTGGAATTAATTTTATGATGATGGTTGACAATGTTGTAAAAGAGTACACTATTCATTTGATAATATCAAATGATATAACTTATAGTAGATCTTAAAACAGCTTCTAGCTATTCGATTCAATTATAGATGCTAGTATTAGTAATAGAATAAATGAATATTTAAACTGTACAAAAGTATTTTAGGCCAGATTTCCATATAATAGTTGCCAGTCTAAAGAAATCAAGTGTACTCAGTAGGACGTATAGTTCTTGACGAGTGGTCTACTGGTAGGTGTGCCACTGACGCTGTCGCTACACTCAGATCCGCGGCTACGAGACGCGGGCGCGGCGAAAGCGGCTGAGCTACGCGAATGGTTGGCACAGCGCTACGAGGACGCCGTAGCAGCGGCTGCAGCTAATAATGCTACGCAGATGGGTCAGTGTTGCTAGTTGCTATATACTTTGTTTTAGTAGTGGCTTATTTTCTTCTTTGTATCATACACTTATCTTGTATTTTATTTTTTCTCTCTGTCTTTCTTTCTATACTTTTTTCTAAATAACCCTTTGTCTATGATATGGATTAAAAATATTTTTAAGTTAAAAATTTTAAATACCTGCTCTATTTACATGCCAGGCAATAAAAACATTTGATTGATATATTCTTTTGGTATTAGTTAAGAATAAAATCACAACTTGTTTATTCACATTCATATTTTTAAGAAAGTAAATATTGAAACTGGCAAATTATTATAATATATGGAAGTGTTCACTGACTTCAAGAGTATCAGATGATTTATGTAATTTCCTGAATAATTTTATGCACTATATATTATAATTACTATACTTCACATTAAAAAGCTATATTTGATTATTTTTTTTTTTTGTTTCTCTATACAGAATCGGCACCAAAAATCATCAACAACTTGCAAAGTCGACCAGCGCCGAGTCCTACTCGCGGCTCAGGCGAGGAGTCAACTACATACGGTAATTTATTTCAACCAAATTAACACCCAATTCTCAAGCTTTAAGAGCCCTTACCGACTATATAATTGACAAAGGTATTGTTAATTAAGAACACCACTTCCATCTTTACTCATTTTATTTTGGCCCGTATAGACGTCTTCCTAGACCCCAATTTTCAAGACGCTGACTAAAATGACCTACAGTTAAATTAGTAAAACATATTCTTTGATTTTTAGGGTTCCATACCCAAAGTATAAAAACGGGACTCTTTAACAAAGACTCCGTTGTCGGTTCGTCTGTCAGCAGGCTATCTTATGTCTCGTGTCTCATGAAAGTGATACCTAAACATTTGAAATTTTCGCAAATGATATATTTCTGTCACCTATATGACAACTAATACTAAAAACATAATAAAATAAATATTTAAGGGGGCTCCCATACAGAAAACGTTTTTGTTGCAATTTTTATAGATAATAAGTTGTACAGAAGCCTTCGTGTGCTAATCCGACTTACCTTTTGGGCTAGTTTTTCTTTATCCATTAAACTTGTTGATGGTGATTTGATTCTTTTCCCATTTGACTTAAAAATATAAACAGTGAGAATGCAATCTATACCAATATGAGAGAAAATTCTATGCAATATTATGAATCTATTGAAACTTTTCGTCCTATAGAGAAAAGAGTTCACGCACTGCAAGAGGAAGTGCTAGCTCTTCAAGCTCGATACCAACGCGAAATACAACGCCTAGAACAAGAGAACAGAGAACTGAGGCAACAGAATATGTTACTACGCCAGGGAAGACAACCTCCTACTAGGAAAGTAAAGGTAGCGTAAAACATGCTATAACACGGCCACCGAACATTGAGGATTTCGTACAATGACCCGGCACTACCTATCTCTTTCACTCGTGCGTAAATATATTGCTATTGCACTAATACATATGCATCCAGCCAATTTTGTCATAGTAAAGTGAACCTTAAATGTTTAGGATATCTATCAGTAAGCACAAAGGTCAACGTACGAAATTCCTTCTGTTCGGCAACCGGCCTATACTTGCTGTGAAATTGCCTAATGGGATAGGCCTCATGGATAACACAGGTGCATTCATTTTACTTAAAAACAATCAATTTTATGATTTTAACATATTTTTTTATTTATTATTAAAATAGGGTAGTTTCGGTAGTAAAAAATGATTCATGAAATTGCACAAAAACTTAAATTTATATCGTAATAAACATAGAGATTCTGATTTTGAGTCTTAAAATAGCACAATTATTTTAAAATTTAATTTAAATTTTAAGTCGTGATTTTTTGTCTGTGTGTCACGTGATTTGAAACACGTCCCGCCATTGTGGCAAACGATCTAACAAAGCTGTCAGATTAATCTAAAGATATACCTTTAAATTATAAATCAAATTCCTAGATGGCGCTGTTCGTAGTTTATTTATGTATTTTTATTACACAATCGATCCTTAGATGGCATTGTTCTTGTTTCATTGAAATCTTTTAATTTCTACTCTATGCATCTGTTTTGTGCATAGAGTTAAGGTTTTGTGTACATATCACAATGACGTCATAAAATATGACGTACATTGTTTTCGCGGGTATGAAAATAGTTTAAATTTTAATTTCATTTTAAGGTAATAGAACGTGTTTATTTTCCCGAAATATTTGTTTTATTACTTTTTTAAAGTAAAATAACCAGTTATAAGTATTATTTCAAACAGAGTAGAACATCCTATTATGTAATTCTTAATTAAGTTTTATTTTTGCCATTTTAAAAATGTAGGCCTGTTAGGTTAGGATCTATAAGATTATGGGTAAACGAATATCTTTCTATTTGAATAAATATTATTTAGACTTTTAACTTTTTTTCAGAATGGAACGAAATATCAAGTAATTTTAGAATTCTTTGTATGAAAACACTGTCCGCAACGAATCGTGTCGGGATTCTAATATCATCTGCCATTAAAATTTGTTAGGTTGACCTCCTTCGGCTCTAAAAGATACACGGAGTTCCATAAAAATTGCATATTTTTTACTATTTTCTTCGGGAAATTTTGTCAGAATGTTATTTAGATCTTAAAATGACTGCTCGGTCCATCGAAATGTACAATCGCACACATTGTACTTAAATCATCTTATGAATATCTTGATACTTATTTTAATTATTTCAAGAGTCTAATTGTCTTATTTTAAAATCTATGACAATTCCTTTTAAAAGTATAGCGGCTGTGATAGTCATTTATTAAATTGTGTAACTTTTAAAGTCACAGTCGCTTCTGGTACGAATTATGAATTTGAATGACAGTAATTCTATAGACAATAGGGATGGAAGAATTTTCATTACGTATTTTATTTAATTTTTTTGCATACTCGATAAATTACGGTGATACATCGAGTTGGAATGTCGCATGACATCACGCTTTTGTAACTACATTTTCGAGTGACGTATCGAGCTCCCACTCCTTAACTTAATGGCTATTATGTAAGCCACTTCTTGAAGCAAAAAATACGTATCTAACATTTTTACTAAATAGAATTTCTTTTTACCCATTCTTCATCCTTATTCATTCCGTTTGAAATTACCAATTACCCTTAAATATATGGGTAACTATTACTTTGCTGTACATTAAGGTTAATGCTTTCCTTAGACAATTTCGATTAACGTGAAAATAAACGTTACCACGGAGTTCCATAAAAATTGCATATTTTTTACTATTTTCTTCGGGAAATTTTGTCAGAATGTTATTTAGATCTTAAAATGACTGCTAGGTCCATACAAATGTACAATTGCACACGTTGTACGTAAATCATCTTCATCGTTATCTTGATACTTATTTTAATTATTTCAAGTGTCTAATTGTCTTATTTTAAAATCTATGACAATCCCTTTTAAACGTATAACGGTTGTGATAGTGATTTATGAAATTGTGTAACTTTTAAAGTCACAGTCGCTTTTGGTACAAATTATGAATTTGAAAGACAATAATTTAATAGACAATAGGGATGGCGACTAATTTTTGTTCATTTGTCCGTCGGGTAAATTATTGAAGAATTTTAATTACGTATTTTATTTTATTTTTGGCGTACTCGATAAATTTCGGTGATACATTGAGTTGGAATGACTTATGATGTCACGCTTTTGTACGTTGTCGCTCATTCAATATCTTGCAAAAATTACAATTGCTATCACTTGTCAAATAGATGTAGCGGGAAATTCGTGACTATCTTTCAAATGTCAAATTCAAATTGATTGTGATAAATGTTAAAATCAGACAGCCCCAACACCCTCACCCCAAATCCAGTCCTGGCAACTGGTTATTATATTTCGTGTATATTTTCTGGATAGCGTTCCCTCATCGATATGTACTCTGCCGTCCTCGATGAACTGGCAGGATGGGATGCTGGTGAGACGGACAGGTTGCCTCGCGTGGTTGTGGTGGGTGATCAGTCTGCGGGGAAGACCTCAGTGCTGGAGATGATAGCGCAGGCCAGGATATTTCCTAGGGGAGCTGGCGAGATGTGTACCAGGTGAGGACGAGGAAATATTGTTGATTTACATTAATTACATCAAAAATACACAATAAATGAAACAGCAAAAGTACCACAACACCCAGACCTGAAATATAGAATAAGAGATAGGCTATTTTTCTACATTAAGCCGACCGAGAACGAACCCAGTAAGGCCACGAGTCGTCCTCGTATATTTCTATTATAAATAATATTTCAAGCAAATATATGTCAAAATTACAAGTGAATACAGATAAAAATAATAACCTAAAAACCGTCAAATAAAACCAATTAAATATTAAGCCAGGCAAGTTCCACTTATAATTGTTATTAAAAACACAAAAACAGTATAACGCAATAGTTGCTAATTGCCTCCCAAATCAAGGAGGACCTCGTAAAAATGAATTTATGGCTGCACATCCTATGACAGGCCTTTGGAAAAGTTGCTTAACTTCCCTGTCGCGGATCAAATTTGCCTACCACATTGCCTTAGAGCCCCACCACTCATATCATTTAAACAGTAACAGATATTTATTCCTATTCCGGCAAATGTCAATGTAATCATTAGTTTTCAAGATGTCGGCCTCGTTGTCTCAGATACTCCATAATAGACTTTAGTTACTCGTCTAGGAATCTGAGTATTTGAGTAATGCATGTAATTTTTTCTAATATTTTTTTATTGCTATTTATATGACTTTAATAATATTTCGTTTATATTCAGGGCGCCTGTAAAAGTGACGTTATCCGAAGGTCCTTACCACGTGGCGCAGTTCCGTGACTCGTCGAGAGAATTCGATCTCAATAAAGAATCGGATTTAGCTGATCTCAGAAAGTAAGTGGTTTTTAAGTAATTTTCTAAGACGATAAGTGATAATCGACATGAAATCCAAAATGCTTTGTTCAATTTAAAGTTAACATAGTTATAGATAGCCAGTTTTAAGAGACCCCTCTCTTCCGTTACTTAAATAGACACCTTTAATTTGCAAATCAAGCATTACATGCAGCCAAAGATAAAGAAAAAAAGTAATAAAAATTTTATGTGGAGGTGTTATTTATTATATGGAGCATAATAAAAGCGGAAATAAGATTTTCGCTTTTATAATCTGACTTGAAACTAAGTTGTATCTTGTTCTATTATAAGTAATCAACCTTACTTGTTTTTATTTATTAATGAAATTTCTATGATTTAATCTAACCGTTTGTCATTTTTTATTTATTACAACATTAATTAAACTATTTGCCAAGTAAAGATCATAGCACACTTTCACGGCCTTCGACCCGGTGATTTACTTGTCATTTATAAAAGAATAACTGTCAACTTCAACTTTGAGAGTAAAACGGGAACCCTATTACTAAAACGTGGCTGTCTGTCTGTCCCTATTTAATGAACCTTGAAAGTTAAACAGTTGAAATTTTTGATGTATTTCTGTTGCCATTTCAACAACAAATTCGAAAAACCATTATAAAATAAATATTTAAGGGGGTTCCCATACAACAAAAGTTTTTTTTTTTTTTTGCTTGTTTTTGTTCGATATTGATAATGACGATAGGTAGACGCTTGAAATATTTACAGACTATGTAAAAGTAAAGAATCAAATTATAATTAAACAATTATTTAAGTGGGCTCCCATATAACAAACGTGATTTTCTTGCTCGTTCCCGGTAAGAAACTCTTCGTGCGTGAGTCCTTATCACACTTGGCTGCTTTTTTTCATATTGATGTTATAAAATGCATACGATTTAAAAGTAAAATTTAAATTACAAGTTAATTGCTGCGTTGGGCGTCGTGTTATTTAGTTATGCTATGGTATCAAGGCTGTTTTCATAGTATGGCAACTGTAACCACACCTGACACTGTAAATAACGCCTTATTAACAGGGAGGTAGAGTTGAGAATGCGTAACAGCGTCCGAGGCGGACGCACGGTGTCTACTGATGTCATATCCATGACTGTGAAAGGCCCTGGACTACATCGGATGGTGTTAGTGGACTTGCCAGGAGTTATATCCGTAAGTGCATAGGATTATGACCCTTATTCGCAAGCCATTAGAGTTGTTTTTGTACAACGTCAAATAAAACAAAGTCGCTTCTCGCTATCTGTACGCTAAGATCTTTTAAGCTACATGACGGATTTTAATGCGGCTTTCTTCAATATAAAAAGTGATTCAATAGGAAGGATTGTAACGGTGCGTCGTACCACCGTTTATTTCGTTCTAGGTTTCCGCATTCTAAATTTCTGTCTTTGATCTTCAACATTATTTATTTTTATTATTCACTTTTCGTAATTTGAAATTTTGAGTAATTTAATATAGCTACTCTTTATCAATATCAGTTCGTGAAAATTCATTGGGTTAGAAAAATTATACATACATAATTTCAATCAGTTGTAAAAAGTATACTATATCAAATCATATATAATGAAGTTCTTACCAAACTGGAAGAAAAGAGGTATGTAATTGCTGTATTAACCTATTTTAATATTATTTTTTAGTTAACCATATGAACTGTTTTTATATTCCTTTTTTGTTTCTTAGTTTTTTTTTTTTTTTGTTACCCTTTATTAAATTTCAAGCTTAGTAACTTTTTATTAATTTGCCTAAGCATCGAACCCGTCACAGGTTTATATGTATAAAGCTGGCGCAAAGCTACTTTATTATAATAAAGATGTTGAAATTTTTTATATTTTTAAATGGGCAGTGAATTTATAGGGAAACGTCAAGCGTGAGATGACACTAGGCCATGTTGCTATGGTTAAGTTTCTCCCTCCCCAACCCCTCGCCAACTTCGCCTCCTTCGATACCTATTTTCGTTTACTGCGCAAGGTTTACTTTCGTGTCGGACACTGTACCCATTTTTAATTAAAATTTATTATTGGCAGACACAAACTGTAGATATGGCGGCAGACACTCGCGATGCCATCAAGCAGATGACCAAGCAGTACATGGATAATCCCAACGCCATCATACTATGCATACAGGTATTTAATGTTATCAAGCTCATACTGACACTGAGTAGCTCGATGGCGTAGTGGATAAGCGCCACGGCCCGCGATCGTTGTTAAGCAACTATCGCAATGGATGGGTGACCAAAAAAATTATTATCTCGAGCTACTCCATGCTTCGGAAGGCACGTTAAGCCGATCCCGGCTGCTTTTGCAGTCATCAATATCCTCCAACCGGCATGGGCCAGCTTAGAGGGCCATGGGCCAATCTTAACAGTCCATAAGGAAGGCACTGCAGTGGGAACGTAACAAGGCAATGTTGATGATTTAAGAACACTGCATATTAGTCCGTTTAGCAGTGCACATCACCTAAACATCAGCTGTTTCCAGCAATTTATATGCTTTTGTTCTCTGACAATAGGGGTGATGCCTGAGTAAAAAAAAAAAATAAATAATAATAATAATTCTTTTAGTCCTTCAGTCAGATACACATAAAGGAAAAATTAAATCTGATAACGTATTTTTTGCCGAATACACATTACCAAATTAATGCCATGCAGGATGATACAAGTCACTTTTTATTGTGATGTAAAGTACGGTAATCTACAATAATTATTGTCTGTACAGGATGGTTCAGTGGACGCTGAGCGCAGTAATGTAACAGATCTGGTGTCCTCCTGCGACCCTCAGGGTAAGAGGACCATATTCGTTCTTACCAAAGTGGACCTTGCTGAGGAGAACCTCGCTAACCCTAACCGGGTAAGTAATATAATATTTAACATACAATAAAATTTCAGTAACACATAGTGTATGCTTACAACAATAACAGGTACTAACAATGTTACAGTATAATAATTGTCACACAATAATACTCTTATTGAGGTTGCTGATCCGGCTCGATGGATCAGACTGTAGAGGACGGTGCAAAACAAAGACGGATTTCTTCTATAGACGATTTATTGTATTTTCTTCTTACTGGCTACTTATTACTGCTTGACTGACTTGACTTGACTACTTGCTGACTACTATTTACAAATTTGGCCCTACCTTTATCCTAAACTTAAAATCTAACTTAGATACTAGAGACGCGCGGCGGCCGACCAATCACAGCGCGTTTTACGCCCGCGTGCCGGGTGGGGGAATCGCCCCCACCGTGCGGACGGCGCCTACGCAGCCAATGGGCTCCCCGATAAATCAGCTAATGTAGGCGCTGTGATTGGTCGTTCGACTCGTTCATTTTTCGGCACGTGGCTGACGTCAACAACTCTATTAATATGTCTTTACTAATATTATAAAGTGGTAAAGTTTCTAACTTTGTTTGTTTATTCATAGGGGGTAATACTGATCCGATCATGAAAATTATTTGACCTACAGGAAGCTAGATCATCGGCAGGTAACATATAAGCTATAAGTTCCGCGGACGAAGTTGCGGGAAAACAACTATAGCGCAGTCGCCGAACAGTATTTCGTACAATGACCCGACATTACATATTTCTTTTACCTTAAATGATATTTATTTGGCAAATATTGGCAAAGCCTTAGAATAAAATTGGTTTAAAAAGTGATAATTATTTAAAACTCACCTGAAGTGCCTGATTTTCTCGTTACATTCAGATCCGTCGTATCCTGGAAGGAAAGTTGTTCCCTATGCGTGCATTGGGATACTACGCGGTAGTTACGGGACGTAGTAGGCGTGACGACAGTATACAGAGCATCAGGGAATACGAAGAACGATTCTTCAGATCCTCAAAACTATTCAAGTAAGCAATCTAATGAAAAAATTGTAATCAACAGTGCCATTATTTAGACGGCATCCGTTGCCGATTAGATCCACCCTAAATATAACTCAGTATAATCACACTCACGTTTTTTGTCTCGTTTTGATGGCCTCACTTTAATTTATTAGTATTTAGATCAGTGATTTATTTTCCTCAGGGACGGTATAGTGACGCCTTCGCAAGTAACTACTCGCAATCTATCGTTGGCGGTGGCGGATTGTTTCTGGCGTATGGTGAGAGCTTCTGTCGAACAGCAAGCTGATGCGTTCAAGGCCACCCGCTTTAATTTGGAGACCGAGTGGAAGAATACATTCCCCAGGTAAGTGTTTATTTTGATTAGCATCAATTATTTAGGTGGTTACTAAGGTAACTATATGAAGTTACCATCGTAACTATTTGTGGTTACCGCCTTAACTAGTTGCGGTTACCGTGGTTACTCATATTTTATAAATGATTTGCTTTATAGTAAAGTGTAAACACAACCACTGTAAAGAAACTTTATTTTAAAATCGTTTGGATGACAACATTATATGCACACACAGTTTTCTTTATTCATTTATTTCATGTCACAAAGCATAAAGTAATAATAATTATATTACAGTCTATATGTATAAAAGGGTGTACCAATTAAATATACCTAGTATTTGTATAATACAATATTGTCAATTCATTATTATAATTACATTTGTTTAAATATAATCATTGTATAAATCTTTTCCTATTGGTGTATGCGCTGAATCGTCAGAATTCTAAAAAATTGTAATTTGTTAATATAATTTATTAATAAACTAGTGGCCGCCAGCGACTTCGTCCGCATTTTCCATTATTTCTTCGCTCCTAATAGTTGAAGCGTGATATTATATAGCCTAAAGCCTTCCTCGGTGAATGGTCTATTTAACACAAAAAGAATTTTACAATTAGAACCAGTAGTTCCTGAGATTAGCGCGTAACAAACAAAGAAACAAACTCTTCAGCTTTATAATATTAGTATAGATAAACCGTAGTGTGCGAATGTACCAGTCTTAACGGTTCTTTTGGCTAGAGAGTTGCAGTCTCGTTAGGTGCGCCAACCGCTCGTATCCCGTTTTCCCAACATTTCCCTTCACTGCTCTGCTCCTATTGATTGTAGCGTGATGAAAAGTATACTATAACCAGCTCATCATCATCATCATCATCAGCCGGAAGACGTCCACTGTCATAACGTCATAACACACACGTCATAACCAGCTCAGGAGTATGAAAAATAATTGTACCAAGTTTCGTTAAAATCCGTCGAGTAGTTTTTGTTTCTATAACGGTTATACAGACAGACAGACAAAAATTTTACTGATTGCATTTTTGGCATCAGTATCGATCCCTAATCACCCCCTGATAGTTATTTTGGAAATATTGGGTTGGCACAAAAGTAATGAGACACACTAGAAAAATCTATAACATTTCCTTTTTAAAATTAACTTTTTCGATAATATTCTAGAATATTGTAGAACATTCTAGGTAGTTCTGGTGTAGGGTATATAAAGCCGCGCTCGCGATTTGTTTAGTCAGTTTGAAGATAAATGGACGAGCGACAAGTTCGAACACTATACTTATACGAGTACTTGTTAGGCCACAGTGCGCGGGCTGCGGCTGACAATATCAACAATGCATTAGGCGCTGGAAGTACAAGCCATGCGACGGTGTCCCGATGGTTTGACCGTTTTAAATCAGGAGACAGGAGCCTTGAAAGTCAGCCACGCTCAGGGCGACCACCCGCAGTGAATGATGACGATTTGCGCCGCGAACTGCAGTTGAATCCGGATGCTACCACTCGTGAATTAGCGGAAGCACTTAAATGCAGTCACCACGCCATGGAACACCATCTGCATGAGCTTGGTTATCGAAAAGTTTTGGCTCGGTGGGTACCGCACATCCTTACAGACGCCAGTCGTGCAGTCCGTGTCGCTATCTGTCAGTCACTTTTGCTGCGACCCCGACGTAAAGAGTTTTTGTCAGATCTGGTTACTGGAGATGAATCATGGATTTATTACGAGAACGATACACGTCGTGCTTTTTGGCTGCCTCGAGAAGAAACGCCACCAACTCAACCGAAGCCGAGTCAAAAGAACCGCCGAAAAATTCTGCTTTGCTGTTTCTGGGATGCGCAAGGCATACTGTTTTATGAGCTATTACACAATGAAACTATAAACGCTGACAAATATTCAACCCAGCTTACCAAATTATCTGCCGCTATCAAGAAAAAACGACGAAGACGAGTCAATGTAGTTTTACTGCAAGATAACGCTCGACCTCACGTCGCATCTGTGGTTCGCCGGCAGTTGGAGAACTTGGGCTGGGAGACGATACCCCACCCACCTTATTCCCCAGACCTCGCCCCATCAGACTATCATTTGTTTAGAGCCCTGAAACAGCATTTGCGGGGTAAACAATTTAATGATTTCTCTGACGTAGAGGCGGAGTTGAACAGCTTTTTCGAGGCACAGCCATCAGAGTTCTGGGCAAAAGGCATCCAAACTTTGCCGGATCGTTGGCAAGAAGTCTTAATAATGGTAATTACATCATTGACTAAACTTTTTTTATTGTAATAATAATAAAAAAGTAAAAACTTAAACCAAGTGTCTCATTACTTTTGTGCCAACCCGATATATTTCATGTACAGAAATGACCTCTCTGCAGATTTATTATAAGTATAGATAAGTTGTGAAGAAAATTCTCTAAGTTTGTCTTCTTCGGCTCTGATTGCCAGCAGCTTTAAGCTTTAACAATATTGACATATAAATTCACCTTTTCCAAAAATCTATGCAATAAATAAACAAGCTGAAAGTTATTAAATTATTATAACAATATTTTGGGGATTATTTATAAATATTTCAATAAAAATATTTCATCACTTGCATTTTGTGCCATCTATACTTTCTATTTTTAAATGACGTCACGCGAGTGTTTTTAGATAAGATTCCAACGCTTTATCAATTTACGGGACTTCTACGTGTACTTGTTTGTTGTCAGACAACGCGAGTTGGATCGCGACGAGTTATTCGAGCGGGCGCGTGCTGAGTTGCTCGACCAGTCGGCCGAGTTATCCGCCGTGCCCGCCCCTATATGGGAACAACGGTTGCAGCAAGCGTTATGGGACGTAGCCAGAGACAGAGTGTTCCAACAGATATATCTACCGGCCGCCGCGCAAGCTCACGACGATGTCGGTAAGTGTAATATGTTTAAGTTCATTTACCATAATAAATTACAATTTGGAATTATGAGTTATCCGACGTGAACGTGTGGGAACAACGGTTGCAGCAAGCGTTACGGGACGTTGCCAAAAATAGAATGTTCCAACAGATATATCGACCGGCCAAAACGCAAGCGAGCGACGATGTCGGTAAGTGTAATAAGTTTATTAACCATAATATATTGCAATATGGAATTCTAGTTGTCCGCCGTATAAGTGTGGGAACGACGGTTGCAACAAGCGTTATGGGACGTTATCAGAGACAGAGTTTTCCAATAGATATATCTACTGGCCGCCGCGCAAGCGCATGACGATTTGTGTAAGTGGAATACAGTACTTCAAGGTAAATAATGGGCATCGGAAAACATCGTTTTCTTATTTATTAACTTGGGTTATAATAGAAATGGAATATATTAATACTTGCATCGATTATTTAATAATCCTAAGATACTTTATTGACTCGACAATAACGCCAAAATCAAAATTGTAAAATAAGAACAGTGTATTTAACTTTCGTAATTTCTCGCGAAAACACTAACTTCTGTCATGGCGTCGCTATAACGTCCGCTCTTTTAAACTAATATCGTTCTATGTATACATAAAATTTAATTCTCTAAGTTCTGAAATGAATCACGCGCTGTTTGCGGTCACATGACAACGAGTGTAAAATATTTGCTTTTTTTCATAATTAATCTAAGCAACATTATAATAGTTATTTAAGATACGAGTGCGGAAAGTAAGGTTTTACGAATATTGGCACGAATTCGAAAAACCTTTTACGCTCAAGCAGTGCCGGTTTTAGCACTACTAACGCCCTGGGCGAAATTTCTTCGGCGCCCTCTAACTGCAATTTAATTACAATCAATTACTACTACATACTACAAATCAGTTACTTGTCTTTTTTTCGCCGACCCGGCCTACTTACTTGTAATTTTCCCTAAATTTAGGTAGATTGTTAAGCGTTCAATCGGTTTAATTTCTCGGGAATCCCCGACTTTCCGACCATACAGAAACAATGTGTTTTTCTATAATCGGGGATTCCCTATATCTATCTCTTTTAATTTTTGACGAAGAAGAACACAATCAACAATTATCTTCTTGCTTGACATAAGTGGAGGCTCTTAAAACAATTATTCGATTATTTTAAAACAATCAAACACAATAATCAAACGTTTAACTCTACGTTACGATGCTCTTGTTCCAACTATATAGTGACATTAGTTTTATTTTAAAAGTAAACATATAAATAGTGTATAAGTAGCTGATTCATTTTTGACGGATCACATCATTAGGTAAGCACAGATTCATTTTTACCCTAACAGGGTGCCACATAATTGTTATCTATAACTTTGTGTAATTGTTGTAACTTTTTGACAGCGAGTTTGCAGTGGGCCACTACTTATTATATGATCAATTATTTTGCTATTTCGAATAAGTGGACAAGTAGCTGGATCCGCTATATTCGGGACAACAGTATCAACATCATCTAGTACATGTATTTGTTGTACATCAATAACAGATTTATCCTAAGCAGTATCTGTAATCATAGCACAACTTGCTCCCTTACTTCGGGATTTTTCATCCACAATCTCTTGAGTAGCTATTCCATCTGACTTGCCAGACAGAGGCTCCACTGCCGATGCATTCGTTTGTATTGCAGCATTTTAGCTTCAGCTTAACGTTTAAACATGCTCAAACGAAAATTTTCTTAAATGATCGAGCGATAATGCCCGCCAATGTACGTCATATTACCTTATAAAATACATATCTTCATATTGGTAATCGGTATGTTGTTCTGTTTTACCATAATATAATATTTTTCTTGTTAAGTTTCCTTTCAATTCATGCTAAAAGGCAACTTGAAAATAAAAAAAAATCCTCAAGATTCTTGTTCTTTTTTCGCCGACCCAGTAGGCCTTGTTCAATAAACAAGGGCATATAAGAATATAAGAGGGCGTCTGTGGGAAATGAGGAAGTATTGGAAAAAAAAACATAAGTTCCCGAAATCAAACTAGATGTCGTTACGGTATGTTCTTGATTTCTCCATGACAACCCTTCCAGTTTTATTTCATGGTTAAGAGTAAATTAGTTTTCAAAACTCAATTAACAACTCATATTCTATTTGTACTTTTTCGTATTTGTATTGATATCTAAATTTCGAACTTTTAAATTTCAGTTTTTTAATATGTTAGTTAAAATGAATGGAAATTACTGTCTTTGTTCCATTCGTTTCCTACAAAAATCAACTTTTGCTAGAGTCGCCATCTAGGTGAAGGTATTTTTGTAGTGCTTTCGTTATTTTTAAATACTTCCTCACTATACAGAATCAGAAAGAAGAGCCTGACGAAAAGGGGCGCCGCAGGCCGCGGCGCCCCTTTTCGTCCGGCGCCCCTGGGCGGTCGCCCAACCGCGCCCTACCCTAACGCCGCTACTGCGCTCAAGTTTCTTACAACATTTTTCAATGCTTTTTGCGAGGAAATAAAACAAATATATAGGTTAATAAAACTAAGTATGTATTAAAGATAAAAAATATTTGTTAAAATTAAACGTGATATTTGAACATGTTTTCGTGTCATACATTTTTATTTGAAAATATTCGTTCTAGGCTCCTTGAAATACTTTTGCCTCTAAAGTTTGACATATTTTCATCAATATTTTTTTTAATATCTTTAGTGCTCGGCCAAAAAAAATACTTTTAAGCACGTGTGCAGTAAAGGATTTCAGTACATTTTTATTTAACACGTGTTTAAAGACTCACTTTCGATCTTTACAATGGATTAAAAAAATAGCGCTTTATGAGCAACTGCATTGAAAATATAATAAGCATTCAAGTGTGATTATCGGTAATGGATATACTATTACAACCAGAAAAAATCATTTATTTTAGTTTACTGTCAAAACCCGTATTAGAAAGAAAAATAATAATATATCAATTATTTTCTACATCTATTAAATTTTATGGTGTGAAGATCTTGACATAAATTTTATTATACATGTTTCTTATGTTACAAGGTTATCAAAATATGTATAGCTACTTTACTGTATGCTAGTATTAGACGCTTTTCAAGGCGATATTGTATCTAGGGTATTTTTTAAATTACATTTTTTTTGTGATATCCGTGTAAACTTGCTGTTACATTTCGACCATATTGAAAAACATTGCAACTCATTTAAACGATGAGAAATTAATACTTTGAATAGTATTAGTAGTCCACCTTTGTGCAACTGCGTATGATTATTAAATAAAAAAATAATGTGGTATGTGTGTGACGTCAGCGTCTGGAATTAAAGCGGTGGCACACCAAGTGAAGTTTAAACACAAGTCTGAGAACGGCACCGCGACCACCCTGTACTATGAAGCGAACGATATTGATTTCAGTAAGGGTTACAATTATATAGATTTTATCAGCGCACAGATGTAATTTTGTTATTACAAGCTTTGATATTAATTAATTAGATCATATTGTAATATAGGTATAGTATATTTTGTGTCGTAGATATAAAAGTTACATTATAAAACGACTAACTCAGTATTGACCTTTCTTATTGACCTTATTATATAAAAATTCAAACAAATGAGTAGGTAGGTCAGCACAGTTACCATAGTTGCTTTTTCATGTTAGTAGTAAAGAAATCTAGTCTTTCATCTTTTAGTTTATTATTGCATTGCATTATAATATTTAAGTCGAGCAAATTTATTAAATTAAATAGAATTTAATTAGATTGATTTTGATTAAAACTGTGTTTTTCCAAAAATATATATCGACGCTAGATAGCTAGCTCATAATAACACAGGAGTTTGAAAAAAAATAAAAAGATTTTCTGCTCTGAAGAACAATTTTGTTTTTGCTTTCTAGCTCTTAAGCCACTTAAAATTTAAGTGTGTAATAGTGAACAATTCTAATGTCAGTTAAATTCTTTTTACTAAACAACGCTCGTTTCTTAATTTTCTATGCAGACAAATTCAACACTAGCGTCGATATAAAGCTCCGCGAATGGGCCGAGAATGAACTACCCTCACAATCTGTACGAGCTGCTAGGGAGGCGCTCGGGGCGGAATTCAGGGCGTTGATGTCCCGACAAGCTGAATCCGACCCAATATACATGCCTCTGAAACAGGCAGCAGTAGAACAAGCGCTAGAAAGGCATCAGTGGGAAGATAGAGCTACAGACGTGAGTATACTGACTGATTGTATTTATAGTCTACTAGCTTTGTCAGCTACTATTTTATTCGAGTGGATTCAAAATAGTAGTAATTAGAATTTAAACACAACATGGATATTAAGTTACCATAGTAACTATTGTTTCCTATGGTAACGTTTTGATTCCATATACAAACTTCCACTCCTATGACTTTTTGAACAGCAATTAAAGGGTTCATCCCTTTAATCGCTGTTTTAAAAGTAAATCGGTCCAGTAGTTTCGGATTCCGAGCCTATTCGATTCAAACAAACAATTGGTAGATTTCAATATTTGGAAAATTTGGAAAAAAAATCTACACCTCCAAGATTAAAGTAGGTTTATTTGACAAAAAATATTTTTTTTTAAACAACATTAATCAAATGCGACCATCGTCACGTTTACAGAGCGACTGGAGACTTCGGCGCGAATATTATTTTTAAGTTGTATCACTACTCTACTGTTGTACTCAAACTGAATGAAAGCGGTAAAATACTAAAAGACTTTATAATATAGTTGATAGCTACGGGAGAGCTAATGAAAAATGGACTGTATTAATATATTCAGTACATAGTATAAAACAAAGTCGCTTTCTCTATCCCTGCATCCCTATGTATGCTTAAATCTTTAAAACTACGCAACAGATTTTGATGCGGTTTTTTTTTCATATATAGGGTGATTCAAAAGGAAAGTTTTTATGTATAATACAAGACCACGCAGGCGAAGCCGCTGGCGGAAAGCTAGTATGATATATTTTGAAAACACAGTAAAACAAATATAACACAAATAAATATTTAAATTATACAACAAATGATAACACGACGTAAAGATACAAGATTTTGGCAGACCAGACTAAACGTCAATGATAATATTCGAATTATAAACAAAGCTTTATAAAAAGGTCGAATGACCAGCGAGTTGCTAGCATTAATATTTGAAGAATATTATGCTCTTTTACAATATAAGGTTATTTGTCGTTGTTGTTTATATCATAAATTTATATATCAGGTGTTGCGCGTACTGCAGCTGAACGCATTACAAGACAGATGCGTATCGTTGCGTGCGGACTGGGACTCCGCTGTACAACTGATGGAGACCGCTCTTGGAGATAAGCTCACCGACACAGACCGAATAATTAAAGAGCTCACAGGTAAAATTCTACCACTGCCTGGGGTTTTTGTAAACGCATATCTATGAAGGCTACTCATATATACGTATTTGAAAACAAAGAAAACATTGCAAATATCGCTCAACATTTTTGTTCTATTATAACCATTTGTCAAAAAATAGAAGTTAATAATAATAAGTTAATTTCATTTTCTTGTTTGAAACTTTTAAGAACGTGATTAAGCTGTAGTCGAGTTTTTGTTTTTCAAGTTATTTTTTTTTATTTAATTAATTTTCGGAAGCAAAATCGCAAAAACTATCAATATATATTTAAATATAAATTTAAAATGTGCTAATTAAGCCCTTTCATTTGATGCCCTACACGAAATGATTGAATGTAACGTCTCATAGCCTATAGCACGCGGACAATTAAGACGCTTTTAATGATACCTCATTTGTCCGAGTAGTTTCGAAGTTATAAGGGAACAGATGAACGTTCTTACACACATACCGACCAAAATCATTACCCTCCTTTTCGCTTCGCCGTAGTCGGGTAAAAAGTATCGGTAATAAGTATAAAGCTTAGCGTCTTAATACTATAAAACCAGTTATTTGACAGGTGGTTATATTTAGCTGAAGTCAGTGTGAAATGGGTATTCCCATATGTGTAAACTATTCAATGAGTCTTAATTCTGTAATCATAAGGTTTTAAATACAAAATTTAGGTGTATCTCTTATTGATCGAAACTATGCAATTTAATATGTTTAAAAAATCCTTAAAAACTGGTCATTAAAAAAGCATTATACAGTTTAGTAAAATTAGTTTAGTAAAATTTGAAGATAAAATTAATGTTAAGCAATAAAATGTCAAATGTGTAATGTCAAATGTATCATTGTTTTAAAAGAATTAATATTAATCAGTAGTTATAACACGATGTTACGGGGGCATGAGACCACAACATCGGAGCAAACGGTATATTCCATAGGGTGGAAGTACACCGAAAGCGTTATTATATTGTGCGAGTATTATGAGTTATTTATGATACCTTCATCGAACTAAATATCTAAATGGTATTGATGACTTGATAGCTCGATTTGTTGTCGATAGCTATCCTTTGTCAATAGATGGTACTTTTCATGTATGAGGTGCCTTATATAATGATATATTTCTTATATTTTATATTTTTGATAGGTAAGTTTACGTTGATTTGCCTCAATTTGTATTTTTTTTAACAAAACTTACCTATGCATTTTTACTACTTATTTCTTGTTTTGCATAAGCAATTGGATATAGGTATACACTATTATGATCAATTTATGCAAAAACACCAACAGTACGGCAATATAATATATTCTATAATTTTCGCATTCTGTGAGGTTTATGTTTCCCACCTTTCGACATTAAGCCTTCTGCACAGGTACACACGGCTGTACGTCATTTACCACAATATGTCAAAATTTCCTCAATCGATTTTAAACTCTATTGAACAACTATAAGGTTTAAAATCAACTGAAAAAGAATTGTCTGTTTTGTATAGCTTTACGTACTGTTGTCTGTGCATAGGTGTGGCCTCATTATGTATCTTATTGTACTGGCATCGTGTCCAGGCCCAGGGTTCAAGGAGCGCTGGTTATACTGGCGGTCCAGTACTGAGGAACAGAGACGTCGCGCCGAAGTACGGGCAGAGCTGGAACATCTGGGCTCCAGCAGGCCGGTGCTCGCTTACGACGAGTTGGTAGCCGTCAGGGATAACTTGCGAAGGAGAGGGGTCGAAGTCGATAACGACTACATCAGGGAAACCTGGAAACCTGTATACATGAAGTAAGAACACCCGCTGATTTGCTTTAAATAGACAAAAAAAATCTTACTCTGCCCAATTTTTTATTGTAAAATTTTGAAGTATTTATAAATAAGTCCATATCCCCCCTCCATTTTTTCAACACATAATACAATTTTCTTCACTTTTTTGGGAAAACTATTTTAAAATTTTCAGATTAAACCACTATCAGCTTTAATTTTTCTCCAAAAAGTGTTATTTAAAAAGTAAAGATATTTTTATTCATTACATCAAAATTTTCTACTAAAACAATCAGTCACGTGACATTTCAAACCGTGATGTTACATTTCAATTAATGTAATTTTTTATCCCAGAAATTTCCTGCAGCGAGCTCAAACAAGAGCTAGAGACTGCAAAAAAAGCTTCTATTTGTACAGTCAACAAAACGGAAACGAGGTATGTCCGATCACACATTTTTAATATAATATTTGCGTTTACATAAAAAATAACTGTTATTAATTTTGCTTTGCTTAAATATTCATTGTGTTGGCTTAAAAGGATAATAAAGCGGTAAGTAATTTTTTTTTTCACTGTACATACGGATACACGTCAGGTTATCACAATTCGTCAAATGTGTCCAGTTGATTTCCAACACTACCCTCATTAACATTAGTGTTCAAGTGAAGTGACAGATTTGGATAACCCGACGTGCTGTTGACTGTACTTCAGTTATTTATTATTTATTCTTTTCTATAATTATTATATTTTGTATGCAGACAAACAAAACATAATAATAAAACATCTTATGTTGTTTGAGGCATGTACGTATTCTGATTATATATTTTTTTACATTATGATTTTGCTGATCAAATATTTGGTCATTTACAACCTTATCGCCATTATTTTAAGAGCTTTTTTTAAATGAACAGTGTGCTTTTATTGAATAATATATGTAATAACATGGCAGATTATAAGCTGATGATGTTGATAGATAAGAAGACAAGGGTGATTCTACGGAAACTTGACCTTCCGATTTGATACATCCGTCATTATTGTTTTTCAAAAGTAATTAAATCTAATTGATATTTTTTTTAATCGTCGTCGTCAGTCTGTTTCAATGTTAGATTCTATATAAATATAAAATTAGAAAAATATCAGTCAATATTAATTATTTCTAAAGAACAATAATAACGGATGTATCAAACCGGAAGTTCAAGTTTCCGTAGAATCACCCCCAAATGTTTCTTTTGAATATGGAACGTCATAAATTAATTCTTTTCGATACAAACTGATGACTCTATTAAACGAATTAAGTTACAACGACAACGTGCTCTAATAACAGTCAATGAATCTATACTTCAAGTTTTTTTTTTTCTAATGTTAATACAATATTTTTATATGACATTTTGATGACGGCACAGAAAGAATGTTGCGAGGTGGTAATGTTCTGGCGGGTACAGTCAACGCTGAGAACTACTGCAAATGCACTGAGACAACAGATCGGCAACAGAGAGGCCGCCAGGCTAGATAGGCATCTCAGGGAGGTGCTCGATGAGGTAAAATTTCAATTGACAAAAATTTAAGACATTTTTTTTTGTAATCAAGGCGATAAAGAAGGTTGCATTTACACTTTTTACTTTTTTTCGGTGAGATAAGAAAATCTATTCACTTATTATTAATAAGAACATTTTTCTATTCAATTGATATATAAACTTGTTGTTGTCCCGCGACTTCGCATCCGTAAATTATAGCCTTGTCAACCCCGTGTTATGTAACTACCTATAGATGAGAGAATTTTTAAAATCCTTCCCGTAGTTTCGGATCCTATTTGCTGCAAACAAACAAACAAATCTTTCCTCTTTATAATATTAGTATAGAAATCATAATGTCGAATCCAATAGTTTTACAAGATTGACAAGCCGGCAGTATATTGGCGCGAGATTGAGCAAACGTCAAAGTGACAGCTAACTGATAGATAGGGATGCTCGTAGTATAATCGACAAATAGTGCTTCCAATAGTAGTTCAGATTTTTTTTCCTCTAATAGTATAACAAATAGAACGTAGATATTAATATTTTAAAAGTATTAGTCACTAATAAATAACTTCTGAAATGATACCGTTTGATCCGACACCAAGATAATGTCACCATTTGATTCGAAAAGCAGACACTGAGAAAATAATATAATTGAACATTTTTTTAAATAGCAGAGTTTATAAAATATCAAAACATGAATTAATCTGAGCGAAACACTGGATTCTGGCGAAATTCACAAGGGCAACGCCATTAATTAAAAAGAAGAAGAAGAATTATCAATTATATTTTTTGATATTTTCTTTATATTTTTTTAGCTACTCATCTTGGAATTTGAGCGGTGTATGTAATGTTTTTTTAATATCTATTTATTTATTACATTAAGATGGCGGCAGACCCTGAACTTAAGAAAAAATTATTATCTGGACGACGTGTGGAATTAGCCGAGGAACTAAGTAAGTGTTTATAGTTTACAGCACCAGTTTTTAAAATTTAGAATATCTCATTATACTGTATTATTGATATATTATGTATGTGTTATGTTTATACATATATGAAAACATGTTTTCTCGCCATGTACTACAACTATAAGGCCGCCGATTGTACAACTAAATTGTATTGATAGTTGTATTATTTAATTATGGTGTACAACAAAAGTATTCATTCATTCGTTTGAATGATCGCACGTTGCTCACTCATCTCATCGGTCAATAAAATAATGGCCGACCAATGAAAGCAGAGAACAATAATCGCCCGCCATCATACGCCATAATACAGTCGGATCGTGTGTTTACATTGACGCAATATAAGCAAACAAAAAACTACTATTCAGTAGTTAGACCTGGGTTTTTAATTTGACTCTTATAGTAGAAACATTGATGAACAATTACAATAAATATAACATTGCCAACGACTTGCGTTATTGAAAAGATGTGATTTTTTTTCGTATCTTGTACGTAAACAAATAATTTATATACGTACTACTTGACTTGAAAACATGATTTGATTTTGAACCCTAATTCATTGATGTTCAAATCGAAAAATTATACAATTTATAGTAAACTATATGGTGTTGTGTGCACATAAATCATTATTACATATATTCATTTATTTATACACTGTTTCACACAAAAAAATGTACACAAATAAAAGTACAAGACATTAAAAATTGATGTGCAATAGGCGGTCTTATCGCTGAACAGCGATCTCTCCCAGGCAACCTATTTACTGATAAGAATATGGTGATATATAATTCTGGGTTGTGCACAAATGAAGAATTTTCCCTATAAATGTATATAATTCTAAACACACATATAATAATAAATATTAAATATATACTAAATAAATATTTTTACATATCACCAGCCCCTCCACGTCCCCACTGCAGGGGCTCAGGCCTTCCTTATTATCCAGTTAAGGAGGATGGACCATGACCCTCCACGCTGGCCCAATGCGGATTGGAGGGTATTAACGACTGCAAATGCAGCCGGGACCAACGGCTTAACGTGCCTTCCGAAGCACGGAGCAGCTCGAGATAATAATTTTTTGGTCACCCATCCCGTGACCGACCCTTGCGAAAGTTGCTTAACGACTACGATCGCGGGCTACTATACTATATTTTTATACAAATGAATAAAATTTTAGTGTCTGATTGTAATATTAAAACAATCACCATTAACTAAATATGTATATAAACACGGTAAATATACCAAAATAGCATTTTTTTTCCTTTTTTGTGTCTGTCTGTTTGTTCCGGCTAATCTTTGAAATGGCTGGGAACATTTTGATGGGACTTTCACCAGCAGAGCTTATGTAATAAGGATTAACTAGACTACTTTCCACGCATACGAAGTCGCGGGCCCAGCTAGTATACAATACAAAATAAAAAGAAAAACAAAATATCAAAGATAGGACACACGATAGAAAGATACCACTAGCTATTATTAGGAGGGCAAGGGTTTACAAGAGTTATGCTCATTCAACAGAAGATGCAATTTTATCCTGGTTTTAAAAGAAATAGGCGACTGCGATCGTCTGAAGTCTTCCGGCAAAGAATTTATTAAGTTTATAAATATTTCAATTTTACAGAACGAGTGAGACAAGTCCAAGAGCGATTGGAAGAATTTATAGAGGCATTAAACAAAGAGAAATAGTCAATGTATATTATAGTTTATACCTTAGCTATATACGTTGAAGGTTCAGAATCCATTGGAACCATTCTAAGTGTTTCATTTTAATATATTATTTTTGTATAATTATATTATGTAATCACTTATGTTCTAAGTGTCATTATTATCTATATATAAGTTTGAAAATCTGTATTTCTACAGGTTAGCGTTTAGATACAGTAAATTGTGTTGTACTTAAAATGGTTTCTTTGGAATTTATCGAATCATGTATCATATTTGCTGGGAATTGAATTGACGGTCTACATTCGCGGACAAATATATATGAACTTATGTTATAATTTCTTATTATCACACTTTAAATGCTATCTCTTTTTGACGAAAAGCTCTCACGATGTGGAAATAAAGTGTATATATCTACCAGTGATCTTATCACAATTATTATGAAATTATCATAGATATTTAATATATACTACTCGTACGCGTAAAATACGACGCATTAGATGTCTGTCTCACTCACACTCGGGTCAGGCGCGTGGATATTGTTGAGTCACTCGATGGCGTGATGCTTGAATCATTCTAATTGGTCGAAATTTAGCCTCCTTTGCAGGTACACGAGTGAGCTATTAGTTGTATCCAAGGGAAAAAATTAATAAATATAGTCACAGCCATGCGGAAATAGGCTGGGTAGGAATTGTATGATTTTTCTACACAAAATTATGTATTCCTGTAAAGGATGCTGTGAGGATTTTGTACTTTGTTTAGATTCACGTGAGTAATCGTCGCGTTTTGAACGTAATGTGAAAAATGACGTCATAACTCTATTAGGGTTGTAGGCTTGCCGTCATGTCCATAGTGTTAGATCCGCCGTTGGCTGTATATTATTATACAATTGCACTCTTTATAAAAAAAACAATGTTATTTATAAAAATGGTATACTGCACATGACTGATATGCGTTTCAGAGAAAAATCTTTCGACCATTTATTGATGTATTTTCTTTCGCATTTTTTAATAATATGAAATCTCTGTAGATGTTGATTTTATAGTTTTGGTTATCTGTTATGAAATTTTGCCTATTTCAAAACAATGTTGTGAATGTTGATTTTGTACCATACTATATTATTTATTGAATTAACTATTTCCCCCTTTGAAACCCAATTAACCGATTTTGAACCTTATTGAATGAGTTGAAAAGCATATTTTATACAAATTTATTATTTCCACAGTTATATTAAAAACGTACGTTTAGTACAGCACTCATAACGGTAACTCGATTATTTCTCATGTACATTTAAAGTATGAACTCGCTCGCTTCGGAAAAAGGATTTTTTTTTAATCCATACTTGAAACTTTTTCTTGTGCATTGCAAAACTAATGTTTGCATTACCTAGTACAGATTATATATTATTTTTTAAGATTATAGGCATTTTCCTGCACGTAGTTTTGCAGTACACATTTTAACGAATACTTAACTTGCGAAGAACTGTTCACAATTCTCATATACAAACTCTAGCCGTTTTATTATAAAATCATGGATTACTGTTAGCAAAGTAACAATGCCAGAAGACAAAACGTCAAACTGAGAGGTGTTGCTTTATTTTGTTCGGATAATGACTTATTTCTTTTGGTATTTAAACTATTATCCGATCAAAATAATTTAGTAAAGAAGGACAGTCTTTTTATAAAACGAGGACTAGCTTTAGTATCAGGTTCAAACTAAGTAACGTTTTATCTACTGATATTGCCAATTTCCTTTAGGTCGCCAATGGTTAAAACTAAGCATAAATTTTAATCCTGGTTTTATAGTAAATATGTGTACGATTTTTTGTTGTTCTAAATAATATGTACTAAACTAAGAACGTATACTAAAAAATGCCTGCAGGAATGTGCCACGTGAATGGAGGGTGAGTTACTCATTCGTCGGTTCGGTTCCCTATAGTTTATATAGAGATGACGTGCCACCAACACAGCCGTAATAGACAACCTCATTTTGAGTATGACTCAATGAATTTTTATTATCTTTTTTTTATACTACTCATATATTAATTTTATTAGTATCTCACTTGTATAATGTAGTTTGTATTTTTACATGTTTAATTCCGTTTGAAACCAGCCAAAGTTGGAAAATGTTATACTTTTTTTTATTACAGTTCCATAATGACCTACCTTAACAATGAAGTGTAAAGTTATTTCAATCATATATAAAAATTAACATGATTTAAACACATTATTCTGACTAACCTTCTGTTTTACAACACAAAATTTTTTTACTGAAAAAGTACATATATCTGAAATATATATATATATATACATATACAGGTATACATATACAGGTGCAAAAATTAAAAAAACTTGATAAGGAATCAAGTAAAAATATATGTTTTATTATTTTCTTTCTCCATTTCCTTGTTATTTAGCTTCAATCAATGAAATTTTATCCTGTAATTATGTTGTGGTTACAATAGTTTGTATTTTTATGCATTTAAGTCAGACATAATCATTTACTGCTGTGTTGGTCCCATTAATTATATTGTATAATTTTGTTAATAATTTAACGCTTGATCTAAGTTATCTTGTAATAAAATGTTATTTAAAATTGATTTATTTTATTTAATAAATTATTTAGAATAAGAATATTTAGCAATGTACTTAATAACTAGAGAGAAGCAATCCCACGCAACAAACACGCCAAAATGCGTAGCACTTTTTGAAATAAGAACGTAGCTTTGCAAATAACATTTTTAGTGTGCTTGTTCCTCTCATATCTACAATTAAATTAAACAAAGAATAGGTGCGAACGACAGAATAAACGAGTAATGTAGATTTATTTATAAAATCAATTATATGTATAAGACTAGCTTTTGCCCGCGACTTCGTCCGCGTGGTAAAATAACTTTGAGCAGCATTTCTATCGAATATTTATTCATGATATCGTGTGAAATACCTACCTGAAATAAAGTTTCATTTATCAAAATCCTTTCTTAGGGGATGCCTATGTAGCTTTATGCATGCAAAGTTTCAGCCCGATCGGTTAAAATTGACAAAGTTTCATACAAATATTCATCCCCTATTTTATCCCCTTGGGGATAGAATTGATCAAAATCCTTTATTAGCGGATGCCAAATTTCAGCCCAATCCGTCCAGTGGTTTGGGCTGTGCGATGACAGATCACTATGTCAGTCAGTCACCTTTGAGTTATATATATATATAGATATTTATAGATACCATCTGCATAAGCTTGGTTATCGAAAAGTTTTGGCTCGGTGGGTACCGCACATCCTTACAGACGCCAGTCGTGCAGTCCGTGTCGCTATCTGTCAGTCACTTTTGCTGCGACCCCGACGTAAAGAGTTTTTGTCAGATCTGGTTACTGGAGATGAATCATGGATTTATTACGAGAACGATACACGTCGTGCTTTTTGGCTGCCTCGAGAAGAAACGCCACCAACTCAACCGAAGCCGAGTCAAAAAAACCGCCGAAAAATTCTGCTTTGCTGTTTCTGGGATGCGCAAGGAATACTGTTTTATGAGCTATTACACAATGAAACTATAAACGCTGACAAATATTCAACCCAGCTTACCAAATTATCTGCCGCTATCAAGAAAAAATGACGAAGACGAGTCAATGTAGTTTTACTGCACGATAACGCTCGACCTCACGTCGCATCTGTGGTTCGCCGGCAGTTGGAGAACTTGGGCTGGGAGACGATACCCCACCCACCTTATTCCCCAGACCTCGCCCCATCAGACTATCATTTGTTTAGAGCCCTGAAACAGCATTTGCGGGGTAAACAATTTAATGATTTCTCTGACGTAGAGGCGGAGTTGAACAACTTTTTCGAGGCACAGCCATCAGAGTTCTGGACAAAAGGCATCCAAACTTTGCCGGATCGTTGGCAAGAAGTCTTAGATACTAATGGTAATTACATCATTGACTAAACTTTTTTTATTGTAATAATAATAAAAAAGTAAAAACTTAAACGAAGTGTCTCATTACTTTTGTGCCAACCCGATAGATATAAAATATATTTATTCAGTATGTCTCTAATGTAGGTAAATAATATTTTTATGTTGATTCAATTGATAGAAATAACCAATTTACCGTTAGAATATTGATTTTAATTAATTTAAAATTTATAAATTTCTATCAATTCTAATGATAAATGAGACCAAAGATTAGATTATCCCTAATAGTACTTTTTTTCTTTACCCTCAAAATAACTTAAGGCAATAGTTCGCACCCAATTTTCAAAAGTGTTACAATCGAAAAAAAAAAACGTTTTACAAGGGGTCGCTCAACAACCGAAGCCGGCGTCGAGATAATTCAAGAAATTTTTAATGCCTGGGAGGATTCACATGATGCGTTAGGTGATTTTTGTGACCTGTCTGTATGCATTTGATTGTGTTTTTTATGAAACTTCATTATTATGGATTTAGAGATAACTCATTGGATTTTACTGTCTTATGCTTGACTGACAGAATGCTGAGGGGTGATTCAATGGCAAAGGATCCCCTGGATCGAAAGTTAAGATGGATGTTCCACAGGGCTCAATACTTGGTCCTTTCTTGTTTTTAATTTAATTAAAAACAAGACCAAATTTCGTAAGGGATAATCACTAAATAGTTTTGCTGGTTGATGACACTTCACTTTTGTTTAAAATTAAAAGATGGCTACGTCTAAATAACGATGTGAACGATTCTATCGATAAAGTAGTACATTGGTTTAATGTAAATATAAAAGATAAGAACATGGGTCTTGTGGATACCACAGTATTTTTAGGAATAACATTAGATTTTAAACTAGAGTGGGGCCCACATATTAATAAATTGTCGAATAAACTTAGCTCTGCAGCATATTATGCCGAAATGAAGATACGTAGGTTAATTGACATAGATACTGCCAGATTGGTATACTTCAGTTACTTTCATAGCGTAATGTTGTACAGAATCCTATTGTGGGGAAAAGGTGCCAACATACAAACGATTTTTACGCTTCAGAAAAGAGCAATAAGATCAATTTATGAT